CAAGAAAACGCATTCTACCCACCCCTCTCTCTTGTCTTCCTGCAGTCACCCTGTCATAGAACTCCAGCAGGTTTACGAAGCAGGATTTCCCGTCCCTGAAACTGTGCTGGTTGTCATAAATCTCATTCCTTTCTAGGTGCTCCCCCACTCTTCTCCTGGTAATCTTCTCCATGGCTTTCCATACTATACATATCAATGACACTTATCTGTAGTTTGATGCTTCGTGTCTGTCTCATTTTTTAAGAACTGGGATTATATTTGCTGTCTTCCATACTTCAGGTAGTCGCCCTGTTTCGATAGATGTGTTGATTGCTGTTAGTGCTACACATAGTGCCTCTGTTCCCTCTCTCAGGATTCATGGATAGATGTTATCTGGCCCCATCGCCAGCCTCTTCACTTCTTCCTCGGTTATATGTATTGTGTCCAACACGTGAGGGTGTACCCAACCTCTCAATCTTTCTGAAATCTTTTCTGTCTCCTTTGTGAACACTTCTTTGAATCTCATGTTGAGCTCCTCACATCACGGTCGTTTCTTGTGATCTCCCCTCCTTCCTTCCTCAGCTTGATTACCTGGTCCTTGACAGTTGTTTTCCTCCTGGTGAGGCTATACAACAGCTTCAGGTCAGATTTGGCTTTCACTGCTATGTCATTTTCGTACTGTCGTTGGGCCTCCCTTTTTACCTGTGCATATTCATGTGTGTGTGTGTGTGTGTGTGTGTGTGTGTGTGTGTGTGTGTGTGTGTGTGTGCGTGCGCGCGTGCGTGTGTGTGCGTGCGCGCGTGTGTGCGCTCACGTCGTGGGTGCGTGCGGGCGTAGTTGCCTATCTGTGGGTGCAGTGGGTCGAGTCTTGACTCCTGGCCGCCTCTTACCTTGAACTTACTTGATTTACTCCCAGCCTCGTGGACCCTGTCATACCTGCTCTTAAAACTATATATATAGAGCTTGCCTCCACTACTTCTTTGTCCAGGTCATTCCGCTTCCTGACCATCCTTAAGTAAAAAAAGAAAAAGAACTTCTTGATATCCCTATAAATAATTGGCGTTTTTAACTTCAAACTCTGTCCATATGCACCTGTTTCCCGCCTCTCAAACATCCTACGCCCTGTTCACCTTGCTAGTTTCTTTTAGTATTTTGTATATTACCGAGTCTCCCTTGGGTCTACTGTCCTCAAATGTCACCAGGTTCAGTTCCTTTAGCCTCTCCTCTTAGCACATACCCCTTAGAGTTACCCATTAATAATTATAATCATACACGCAATTTTAAAGGGGTACATCGGTAAGCCAGCGGAAGGCCTTGGTCAGATGACCAAAAGCTCTAGCGGCGGGTCATTATATGACAAAGACCCGCTTCAGGAAACGCTTGTTATGTTTCCTGACAAACCTTACCTAACCTAACATGCCCTTTAGTTCTGGGACAGTGGTGGGTTCCATGGTGGTGCTGCATACTCAGATGGGCCAGACATATATTGTGTAAAATATCATGAATGACTGTAGAGATTCATGACGGCTACTCATAGGTTAGCCAGAGAAGCATTGGCTGCAGAGGTTATGTTCCTCTGGCGATATGTTTGGCACTTTGCTCACCTCTAGGCCTCTATCATTAGGTCTGCAGTCTCTGTCTCCCGAGTCTGTGCTCAGCTGTGTGTGTGTGTGTGTGTGTGTGTGTGTGTGTGTGTGTGTGTGTGTGTGTGTGAGAGAGAGAGAGAGAGAGAGAGAGAGAGAGAGAGAGAGAGAGAGAGAATGAAAATTCACAAAATAACATTATTTCTATTAAGAAGGATGTACCATTTTCTTTCATTTAGTCGTATATAATACACTTTGTGAACATAATTTGAATAAGCTGCGTCTCCTTATTTACATAAGTTTAATTAAACAGTTAACAACCGCAACAAAAAAACATCTCACTTGAGTCTCCTCTCAACATTAATTACTGAACTCTGTATCACGACCTCCTAAGTTTCTCCCAAGTTCCATGCATAATTATACTTGCTACAGACATTATATATTACATATATGTCGTGCCGAATAAGTGAAACTTGCGATTTTGGCTTAAATAGCAACGCTCTTCTTGCCGAATAAGGCAAGCTAAAATTTGTGTATGCAGTAATTTCGCAAAAATCATTCTGAACCTAACGAAAAAAAAATATATTTCGTTGTGTTTATTATTAAATTGCTGTAAACTTATCTAAAATATATTTACTTGGATTAGGCTAAATTAAATTGGGCTTGTGTAAAATCAGTCACAGCTGCTGACGAGATATCAGCAGTAAGCGTCAAGTTAGAATTATTCTTGCGATTTTAAATTCATAATCCGATTAAAAGCTTCCCCCGCCCAGATTATATTTTGGCGGGAAAGAGCCGAGGCGGGACATCTGGAACTATTCTAAAAGCCAACTCAATGCGCTAGAAAATCTCCAGCTGTTAATCTGGAATAAATCCAGCCTGGTATTGGGAGAGAATTTCGCCTATATAAAATATATATATATATATATATATATATATAAAGATAGCACTATTTTTGTATTCTAAGTATTAGATGTAACTCAGTTTAGAGAAGAAAATATAGTTGTAGTTGAATTAAGAGGTTTTTCTTAAGGTTAAGATTATATGCCATAACCCCGGGGGTTATTTTTTATGAAATATAATTACTTGGAGTTTACCTGGAGAGAGTTCCGGGGGTCAACGCCCCCGCGGCCCGGTCTGTGACTAGGCCTCATGATAGATCAGAGCCTGATCAACCAGGCTGTTACTGCTGGCTGCACGCAATCCAACGTACGAGCCACAGCCCGGCTGGTCAGGTACCGGCAAAACTTATTTTTGAGTATTATTACGTAGAAACCTCAGGGGTGAGTAAATATACAACAACCAGCCTCCTCTTCAAGACTTGCCTCATATAATTCTCCATTATATATAAAAATATAATTTAGAGATAAGGAGGGATACCTGGATATTTGAAAACAGGACATTACTATGTCTTGTTGAGTCTTGATGTCTTGATGAGTATATCTGGAGTATACCTGAAGGGGGTTTCGGGGGTCACTGCCCCCGCGGCCCGGTCCTTGACCAGGCCTCGGATAAGTAAGTTTATTCAGGTACAGATACACATAAATACAGTTACATTAATTGTCATACACAACAGCATATGTCTAGATTACCTAGGATAACCCAAAAACAAAATCATAGTAACTTATTTCCAGTCAGGTCCTTGTTGTTTCTGAGTGTGGGGGATAACCCTGTCATTTTCTGAGTGGGAATGGTACACCTGGTATTTCTGAGCGCGAGGAGTAACTGCACTAATTTTGAGCATGAGTAGATAAAACTTAGTATATTATTGTTATTATTATTATTATTATTATTATTATTATTATTATTATAATCAAAACTAACCCACAAATTTCAAATTCAAATTCAAAGTTTATTCTCTACAAGGATTACAATGCTGAGTTTACAGAAATTTGGTTATTGTGTGGTTTACATGTAGTAAAATAGTGATCACAGAGTGTACCACTAGAACGCTTAGCATGGCTAGGCATTTCGGGCAGACTTAGTTTTATTCTTAATTGTAAAATATTACAAATTATGAGGTAAGTTGGTATTATGGCTAAAACTCAAATAGTGTGGGTGGCCGCACTTCTGAGCACGACTGATAACTGCACTATTTCTGAGCATCAAGGGTAACGATACTATTTCTGAGTTCAGGAAGTAATTAACTGTTTTTGAGCACAAGGGGTAACTTTAATATCTCTGAGACTGAAAAGTAGCCACACTATTTGTGAGCTCTAGGAGAAACTACACTATATATTACCATGAAGAGTAACTGTACTATTTACTAGCATTGGGTAACTACTGTATAGTATTTCTAAGTGCAAGGGGTAAACTACATTATTTCTGAGAATGAATAGTAACCATACTACATATTTTTATGAGTGTGAGAAGTAAGTGTAATACTGCACTTACGGTGGGTATCCCGTAGCTCGATCACTAGCGCACGCAGCTCACACACTGAGGTCCGGGGATCGATCTCCCGGTACGGCTGAAAAATATTTGGACGGGTTTCCTTAAGACACCTGCTGTCCCTGTTCACCCATCAGTAAAATGGGTACCTGGGTGTTAGTCGACTGGTGCGGGTCGCATCCTGGGACAAAATTTACCTAATTTGCCCGAAATGTTACTCCAGGTAACAAGGGGCTTTCTATAGAGTAGTATCCCAGTATGTTATTTATGTCAGCTAGGCCTATATACCTTGTACTTGTAGAAATAAAGATATTAGCTATAAAAGAATGACGTTCTAGTCAAGATGTAGTAGTAATAATAAACAGATAAATACATATATATAGATATAAAATTAAGCACTAAACCCATGAGGGTCCTACAGCGTTGCTAGTGAAGATGTATAGATGTGAATTCCCTTTAGATTTTTCTAACGCTACAGTAATTCATTAAAATAATGAAGTCTTGGATGTGCATGTGGAAGACCTCATAACTGAGCCTGCAGCTATGGATATATTTTCTACCCAGGGACCAGTCTCTCACATGGATAATTGGATATGGAATCCAATTAAAGTTTCTCCCCCTGACCCACACCTGGCATTTCACAAACAGGAGGAACTAATAGTTGTTTGATGGGGGGACTGTAAATACAGTTTAAAGGAAACCCGTTCATGGATTCTGGGCACAATTCATTGAAAATTAGCCATCAGGGTATTGGTATCTTTTGCCATGATTCTTCTATGCTAGACCAGTTTTTCTGAACCCACAATGGTGAAGACACACATGTATCAGTAGACCAGTGGTATTCAGTACCGTCAAGTTCATAAATTGTACACATGTAGGTAAGTTTAACCAGGTACACACAGATACATTTACATAGATAATCATACATAGCAGCATATGTGTAGAGAACCTAGAATAACCCAAAAAAGTCAGTCACTTGTTTACATTGGGGTCTTTTACTTATTTACATTGGGTTCCATGTATAACACCTGGGTATCTATTTTGCAGACGTTTTGCCAACCAGTGGCTTTATCAGTGCAATTCTGAGATGTTCGAAAGAATGTCGAAAACATAATGGATGCAGGGAAAAATCCAAAGAGTGGAACTATCATCAATTGCTCCAAACTTAGCAGACCTTTGTACTGAAATGCAGGCCCATCCATCTCACTGGCAGGTTAGCAGCATCATATAAATATCTTTGACATAATTCTTATTATTTTGAATTATCTTCCATGTTCAAAATACAGTAACAATGCAGTCAAATTAAACCCGATTCACGTAAATCATAACGTTGGCTGTTTAAAATATATATGATCATCCTCTAGGACAGCTGCGAATAACCTGACGTTTATATAAGGAAGATAATAGATGTATAACATGCGTATTATTCTACACATGTTATGTCCGAGTAAAAGGTAATTGAAGGTTCATGGATAAGGTCATTTTGAAGGGGGTATATAGCCTAGAAAGCCTGGGTATTCCTGCTCTAGAGGAATGTACGTAATGGATACACTAGAATAATGAAGGAAACATCATAGGATACAGTAGCATAATGAAGGGAAACAGTATGAGATACACCATTGAAGGGAAACAGCATACCTGGAGTTTACCTGGAGAGAGTTCCGGGGGTCAACGCCCCCGCGGCCCGGTCTGTGACCAGGCATAGGATACAGTAGCACAATGAAGGGAAACAGCATTGGATACACTAATGATAGAAAACAGCATGTGATACAGTAATGAAGGGGAAACAGCATGGGATACACTAATGAAGGGGAAATAGCATTGGATACACTAATGTTAGAAAACAGCATGGGATACACTAATGAAGGGGAAACAGCATGGGATGCCCTAATGAAGGGGAAACAACAATTCTACACTAATTCAAATTCAGATTCAAATTCAAAGTTTATTCTCTATAAGGATTACAATGCTGAGTTTACAGAATTTGGTTATTGTGTGTTGCGAATAAGAATTTTTTTCAAGAACTTCAGAATGTGGCCTGTTACCATTTATTTCTTATGCAACAAGATTTTTGGATCCGAGTTATTTAAAGGTATTTTAGAGTCTAGGGGAAATAATTTCAACTGGGAAACTACAAAGAATAATATTCAAATTTATTAAAGTATTTAAATACAATACTTTATCTTCTCTTTGTAGTTAATGTAGCTTAATACTTTGTACAATAAATTTACCATATACATTTAATTCAAAATCATGGAAATGTCACATTAATAAGGAAGTTTAATTATTCTTCATGTAGTTAAATAATGATTACAGAGTGTACCACTAGAACACGTAGCATGGCTAGGCATTTCAGGCAGACTTAGTTTAATTCTTAATTTTAAAATATTACAAATTATGAGGTAAGTTGGTATTATGGCTAAGTGACTAAATACTAGTTTGTGAGTTTAGCAATGTGAATGCTTTTGTTTTGGCACAGTACATAGTTTCAGTATTGGAGTATCACAGGATTCATTATTTTAAGATTGAGATTAATATTTCTGTTTATGGTCAAATGGGTGAGTGAGTGTAAGTGTGAACCACCAGGTGGTATTCGTTAGTTGATGGGGTGTATCAGGGAGATAAGATGTTTTCTAATGGTAGTTTTGAAGGTGATGAATGTGTCTGCAGTTCTAGAGTTCTCAGGTAAGGTGTTCCAGATTTTAGGGCCTTTGACATACATTGAATTTTTGTAAAGGTTTAGTCGGACACGGGGAATGTCGTAGAGATGGTTGTGTCTGGTGTTATGCCTGTGGGTTCTGTCACAACTATCAAGAAAGCGTTTTAGGTCAAGGTTGATATTGGAGTTTAAGGTCCTATAGATGTAGATTGCACAGTAGTAAGTGTGGATGTACTGAACAGGGAGTAAGTTTAGATCTATGAAGAGTGGGGGGGTGTTGCCAGGGATGGGATTTAGTGATTATTCTTACTGCAGCTTTTTGTTGGGTTATTATTGGCTTTAGGTGTGTTGCTGCAGTTGATCCCCAAGCACAAATAACATAGGTGAGGTATGGATAAATAAGTGAGTGGTATAGTGTGAGAAGGGCATTTTGCGGCACGTAGTATCGTATCTTGGAGAGGATCCCAACCGTTTTGGATACTTTTTTGGTTATGTGTTGGATATGGGTGCTGAAATTCAGGTTGTTGTCAAGGTATAGGCCTAGAAATTTGCCCTCATTATGTCTGGTAATTAGAGTGTTGTCGATCTTAATGTTAATTTGTGCATCTCCTGCTCTGCTACCAAACATAATATAGTAGGTTTTGTCAGTGTTAAGCGTAAGTTTATTGGCTGTCATCCAAGTCGATATTTTGATCAGCTCCTCGTTAACAATGGTGTTGAGGGTGGCAAGATTAGGGTGAGAGATGACATAAGTCGTGACGTCAGCAAAGAGAATGGGTTTCAGGTGTTGGGATACGTTTGGAAGATCATTGATGTATATGAGGAAGAGCAGGGGACCAAGGACACTTCCCTGCGGAACTCCAGTATCAAGTGGCCGTGTTGTTGATGCTGTGTCTTTAATGGTGACATACTGATACCTATTAGTAAGGTAAGATTTGAAATAAGCAAGCGCATGGCCTCTTATACCATAATGGTCAAGTTTGTGGAGTAGGATGTCGTGGAAACAGCATGGAATACACTAATGATGGGAAACAGCATGGGATACACTAATGATGGGAAACAGCATGGGATATACTAATGAAGGGGAAACAGCATAGGATACCCTAATGAAGGGGAAACAGCACTGGTACACTAATGATGGGAAACAGCATGGGATACAGTAATGAAGGGGAAACAACATTAGATACACTAATGAAGGGGAAACAGCATGGGATACACTGAAGGGAAACAGCATGGGATACACTAATGAAGGGGAAACAGCATGGGATACACTGATACACTAATGAAGGGGAAACAGCATGGGATACACTAATGAAGGGGAAACAGCATGGGATACACTAATGAAGGGGAAACAGCATGGGATACACTAATGAAGGGAAATAGCATGGGATACACTAATGAAGGGAAATAGCATGGGATACACTAATGAAGGGAAATAGCATGGGATACACTAATGAAGGGAAATAGCATGGGATACACTAATGAAGGGAAATAGCATGGGATACACTAATGAAGGGAAATAGCATGGGATACACTAATGAAGGGAAATAGCATGGGGTACACTAATGAAGGGAAATAGCATGGGGTACACTAATGAAGGGAAATAGCATGGGATACACTAAAGGGAAATAGCATGGGATACACTAATGAAGGGAAATAACATGGGATACACTAAAGAAGGGAAACAGCATGGGATACATTACTGAAAGAAAACAGCATGGAATACACTAATGAAGGGAAACTGCATAGGATACACTAATGAAGGGAAACAGCATGGGATACACTAATGAAGGGAAATAGCATGGGATACACTAATGAAGGGAAATAGCATGGGATACACTAAAAAAGGGAAACAGCATGGGATACATTACTGAAGGGAAAACAGCATGGAATACACTAATGAAGGGAAACAGCATGGAATACACCGACAGGAAACAGCATAAGATACACTAATAAAGGGAAACAGCATAGGATACACTGAAGGGGAACAGCATGGGATACACTGAAATAGAGGTGGAAAGGGACGCTGTCATGCCATCATAAGATATGCATTACATGTATGTACACGTATGCAAACCAATTATGTATTACTTTCTTGGTGGCAGGGGTAGCACTAAACCCACAGGAATCACACGGTGCTTGGGGTAACACGAGGCATTCAGGTTCGATCCAAGGGAAGGTCACTTCTAATTCCTTGGATCAAAGCCACTCACCAGAAATCGGACCAAAGGAGCCATGTGTTGAAATTATACTCCAACTGACACACCTCAAGATGCAAGAGGAAAACTGTTATAATCAAAACCAAGCATTAAACCCAAAAGAGTCATACAGCGCTGTCGAGAGGGAAATTATGGGGGAGCGCTAAACCCATAGGAATTATACAGCACCACTGTGGGAATGATGGAAGGCATTCAGGCTCAATTCAAAGAACTGGAGCACAGGTCCAATTCCCTGGATCAAGAGCACCTCACCATCATCAATGAACCTCCCTTGAGGTGTCAAGAGGAAAAGCTAAAACTATAAAGGTCATAAAACATCTGGCAAATAAAGAGGCAATTAGGTTGATCCAAGTACAGTGGACCCCCGCATAACGATCACCTCCGAATGCGACAAATTATGTAAGTGTATTTATGTAAGTGCGTTTGTACGTGTATGTTTGGGGGTCCGAAATGGACTAATCTACTTCACAATATTCCTTATGGGAACAAATTCGGTCAGTACTGGCACCTGAACATACTTCTGGAGTGAAAAAATATCGTTAACCGGGGGTCCACTGTACTAGAAGCTCCACCTTCTTGGATGATGACCTCTTTACCAGCACAAATTTAACTGATGTCGTATTCACCCAAGAAGTGCATACATTTCTACTATTAGCATTAGTAACAGTTGTGCCCTTTAAATATTATTAGTTTTGATTATAATAATAAGTGCTAAACCACCAGGGTCATACAGCACTACCTTTAAATATTAAATTGTATAGGTGAAGGATTCTATTGAATTGTGTGAACACTACTCAACATATTGACTAGCATTACCACCCACTCCACTAGTGCTGTCATTCATTCATCAATAATGAAAAATTGCTTCTGTAATATCAGTAATGAATATCTAAGTACACTGCAATAGAGTATCTTGTTCTTGTCCCATCCTGCCTTCAGCTCATTACTAAAATATAATTTTTCTTATCAATTCATGTTCCTAGCTTCATCCTTAATTATAATTTTTTTTTTTAATTACTGAATACCTTCAATACAGTACAGTTTTGTAATATAATCATGGGGGAGCGCTAAACCCGTAGGATTATACAGTGCATGTGGGGGGGGGAGATGGCAGGTATTCAGGTCCATTTCAGGAAACTGGAGAACAGATCCAATTCCCTAGATCAAGAGCCCCTCACCAGCATCAAGGAACCTCCCTTGAGAGGTTCAGTACAGTATAACTACGTATTCTTATAATACTGGATCAACATTTACGATACTGGCCTATGTCAGCCACATACAAGACAGAAACCAGCCATAATTACTAAGATTTTCTTGGAAAATCAGTAGATGTGAAATTTAATAGGGTACATTTCAATGCATTATTACATTCACCAAATTTGCCCAATTCATACAGGTTATGAAGCACCCAAAGGCTGAAGGAAGCTATTAGTAAAAGGGAGTAGCATGACAGAGAAGGTAGAAGGCCAAATGCTGCTCGGTTACTTGGGGTACCACTCTGAGGACTGCTGGATGTACATGTCTCTGGGCCAGCCTGGGCATGAAGAAGACGAGCTTTAATGTATTTAGTGCATGGTGCAAAAGTAATCGTCTTGCCAACAAGACCCTTCTGCCCCAGGGTGCTGCTAGGGCAACCTCTAAAGGTAAGTCACTGTTTTAGTTATTTTAGTAATACTTAGCCATCACCCATCCTCCATTTTTTGCTAATGTCTTTTTCCTTAATGTAAAGCTTTTTATTGCAGAGGTGTGGGCTTTACTTCCCAAGTAGGCCATCCCAACCCAATGGATGGGTGCAGGAACAGAGCTACCTCACTTTACCGACCTAGCATCTGTGACCTGCCTACCCAGAATAATGAAGGCAGACATCAATCAGTTTCCCTAAATAATAAATTCTGAGAAGGTCTACAATGAATGTAGGGATTAAAAAAAATGGAGGGGGAGGAGCAAGAAGAGAGCATCCTGGTGCTTAAAGAAAAAATGAATTCTACATCCACTTGATCAATTATGCAATTAATCGAAAGGTTTTCTATTGTTAAAACCTGACAAGCTGCACAGTGAGGGGTACCAGGTGTTTCTCCATTTCACAGCTATGTGCAAGTCAACTTAATATCTACTCACAGCAACGCTTTTGCAAAGTATAATGGGCAGTAAATCACTTGTTAAAAAGGTCATAAATTACCTCTGTGCTTGTACAAATCAGTGCAACAGTGTTTGCATTGACAAAGCTGAAACCCCTTGACCCTCAATCAAACCTTTGCCTATTCTACCAAATCCAGGTTTGCAATGGGTAAAGGCAAGAAACCCACATTAAATAAAAACTTATTGTAAAGTCGACTAGACAAAGAAAAGATAGTGTAAAAAACACCCTACTTGAGGACACACAAGATTTATTATACCTGGAGGAGGTTTCAGGGGTCATTGCCTCTGCAGCCTGGTCTGTGACCAAGCCCCATGATGGACCAGGGCCTGATCAGCCAGGCTGTTACTGTTGGCCACATATAAACTGATGTATGAACCACAGCCCAGCTGGTCATGTACTGACTTCATGTGCCTGTCCAGTGCCTTCACAAAAAAATGCTGAAAACCCACAAACCACGAAATGCAAAGCTAGGCTAAATGCTCTCAAAGCTGTTGCTGGCTACAATCCCAACTATGGTGCTAATGTGAGAATCGTGAGAATGATGTACATAGCCTATGTTAGGTCCTTAATTGATTATGCTGCTCCCATGTTGATATTAGCTAGAGAAAGTTCTCTCCGACCCTTGGAGTTAATGCAAAATGAAGCTCTCAGGATTATTCTTGGCTGTCCCAGATCTACAAAAGTTCTTAACATGAGGAAGGAGCTTGGTATTTCTAGTATCAGTGATAGGATTGTTCAGATTAACACTGTACTCAGTATTAGAATGTTGAGAAACAAACCAGACATTGTCACAATGAATCTTACCAAGTGTCTAGAGGTAAATACACACAGATCTAAATGGATTGTGAAAACGTGCAATTGCATTAAGTTTTATAACCTGCATGAACTGTATCACTGTAGGCAACAAGAGCATTTCACCCCTCCGTGGAAAGATGTGTTCATTTAATATCACATACCTACAAGTCCCTCCCAAGGAGCTCATTGCTAGTAATCCCTTCCTTAAATCTCTTGTTAGAGCAACTGCTCAAGAAGAAATTTCTCACCTAGCTGGTAGTAATAAGTTATCACAAGTTATATACACTGATGGATCTAAACAGTTTTCTGGCAGGGCTGCATCTACTCGTTGCCACCTCCCTAGTTAAGAACGATAATAAATTTGAGTTAGGCATAAGAATTAACAACTGGGCGTCTACACTGCAAACTGAATTGTTTGCAATCCTAATGGCGCTAAAGCTAACCTACGACACTGAGCTTGACTATCATTACTGATTCTATGTCATCATTGAAGGCTCTTGACTCATATAATGACTCCAACAACATGCTCATTGGAGAAGCCAGGTATAGATACTCAAAAATTAGGGACAAAGGAATTAATGTACAATTGCTATGGATCCCATCACACATTGGATTACTCCTTCATGATAAAGTTGATATGTTAGCCAAGAAGAGTACCCAGAAGGAGAATGTAGAATATAACTTTGGTATAACTGTGTTTAGCATTAGGAATAATATTAGGAGAGAAACAAATAATGAAAATGATTGTTATAGGAATGCAGTTAGAAGCCTGAGTAGATCTATAACCCACTATGATAACATGAATGTAGATAAGTATGTTTATGGAGCAACTTGCAATGTGAACAGACTGACTGATGTTGTAGTGGCCAGGCTTAGGCTTGGTTACAAGTACTTCTGGCAGTTTGGGAGACACACAGATGATGATCAAACTAAATGTAAATTATGTGATCAGGCATATGGTCACTCTCTTGAACACTATGTGCTTAATTGTCCACTTATTGAGGAATACAGAGACAGACAGTATAATAACCTATGTGACATATCAAGATATCTTATTAATGAAAATAAGATACCAGATACACTAAGCAAATTTCCTAAATTTGCTTGTAACAGATAAGTGAACTATAGATATGTAGATATAAATTCATATGTATTCCTGTTAACCCTTTGGGGCCTAGTTCCTAGGCCTTTTGTGTATCCATATGCTCTCGCGCTACCGTCCACAGGATGGATATGGGGTGCACAATAAACTAGCCACTTCGGTGGCAAAATCTAAAAAATCTAATCCCACATTTCTTCCCTATCCATCCTATCGTTTGCCTTTTCTAAATCCATAAATATCACGAAAAATTCCTCTCCTTCAGCCAAGTATTGCTCACTTAAGTGCTTCGATATAAAACTGCCTTCCCATCTACTCCAGCCTTTACCTCATGCTCTTATTAAGTAAGTTTATTCAGGTATACACAAATACAGTTACATAGAATTATCATACATAGCAGCATTTTAATGCTCTACAAATTTCAACAAAATTTTTGTGGATAGACTAGAAGTTTCTCTCTCTCCTTGGCCTTTATCAAGTCAGCCAAAGACATTCACAACATTTCCTTCACTGCATCTTCTAATATAGTAATTTGTTACAGTGCTTGCACTTTCATGCTAAACAAAGTTGCACATATCAAACTAAGTAAAGGCTGGAGAACAGATGGTATGAAGGTAAAGATGTATGCATCGACAATTCATTATGCCAAACAAATCCTGAAACTGTCATCCATCCATTATCGTCCCTGTTTTTGTTCCATCCCTCAACACTCCTTTATTACTAGAAAGACATTAGTTCTTTGTGTTAATTCATGTAAATAGCTTCATCCTTAATGTATCTTTAGCAAGGATTTTTAATAAGTTACTGAATAACTTCAATACAGCCTCTCCTCAACGACGGAGTTCCATTCGTAAGACTACGTCAGTAAACAAATTCGTTGCTAAGCAAGGAGCATACTATAATGGTAGTAGGTTTGTGTCAACCATCTTGGATATTGTTTTAATGTCACCTTTGCACCATTTTTAATACTTTTAGTATATTTTTAAATGTTTATACAGCAGTGTACTGTACAGTGGACCCCCGCATAACGATGGCATCGCATAGCGATTTTTCCGCATAACGATTACTTTTATCGCAAAATTTTTGCCCCGCATACCGATTAAAAACCCGCATACCGATTTTCGTCCGAGACGCGTCCAATGTGCCCTCACATGTGCCGGCCGTCCCATTGTTTACCAGCCAGCCTCCGCGGTAACATCCAAGCATACACTCGGAATATTTCGTATTATTACAGTGTTTTCGGTGGTGTTTCTGGAAAATAAGTGACCATGGGCCCCAAGAAAGCTTCTAGTGCCAACCCTGTGGTAAAAAGGGTGAGAATTAGTATGGAAATTAAGAAAGATTTGAAGGGTTTGGGGCTAACCCTGAGAAGCCTATGCCAGTTGTGGAATCCATTGTGCCTACTTCAAAGATTAAGGAAATGTGTGCAGAGTGGTTTGAACTGCAAACCTTTATAGATGAAAATCACCCTGACACAGCTGTTGCAAGCCGTGCTTGTGACTATTTCAATGACAATGTTATGGCCCATTTTAGGAAAGTCTTGAAGAAACGGGAGGTACAGAGCTCTATGGACAGATTTGTTGTGCGACAGAGGTCCAGTGACTCTGAAGCTGGTCCTAGTGGCATTAAAAGAAGAAGGGAAGTAACCCCAGAAAAGGACTTGCTACCTAAGTCCTAATGGAAGGGGATTCCCCTTCTAAACAGTAAGAAGATAATGCTCCCCCCTCCTCCCATCCCATCAATCATCACCAGATCTTCAATAAAAGTAAGTGTCATGTAATTGTGCATGCCTTTTTCAGTTTGTGTGTATTAAAATTAACATTTCATGTGGTAAAAAAAATTTTTTTTCATACTTTTGGGCGTCTTGCACGGATTAATTTTATTTCCATTATTTCTTATGGGGAAAATTAATTCGCATAACGATTATTTCGCATAACGATGAGCCCTCTTGCACGGATTAAAATCGTTAACCGGGGGTCCACTGTATACTGTAATAAACAGACTAGGGGAAATCAGCTAATACTGTATCCTCTCAGGGGAGGTTCCTTGATGCTGGTGAGGGGCTCTTGATCTAGGGAATTGTATCTGTGCTCCAGTTCCCCGAATCGAGCCTGAATGCCTTCCATCCCCCCCACCCACATGCGCAGTATAATCCTCTGGGTTTAGCGCTCCCCCATTATAATAATAATAATCTAATACAGTACTGTATACATTATTTAGGTATGCATACTGGTCAGAACCCATCGTAAGTCAGAGTCGTCAGTAAACGAGTACGTCGCTAAGTGAAGAGAGGCTATATATTATAAAGTACAGTGGACCCCCGGTTAACGAACTTTTTTCATTCCAGTAGTATGTTCAGGTGCCAGTACTGACAGAATTTTTTCCCATAAGGAATATTGTGAAGTAGATTAGTCCATTTCGGACCCCCAAACATACATGTACAAACGCACTTACATAAATACACTTACATAATTGGTCGCATTTGGAGGTGTTCATTAAGCGGGGGTCCACTGTATTCTTATTCTCATTTACCATTTGTGTAACTGTCGAGGAACTGCACTTTAAGGTTATACGTGTCAGTTACCTTAATTTTATACTATACAGTATGCCACTTTATAGAAATAAAGGTTTTTTATTGAACAGTTATAAATAACAGTCATTAAATACTCTGAGAATGTATAAAGGCTTTGTTTCTTTTGAAGTACTGTATTAATAAATACACTAATTATTGGATATTCTCTTTATATTTATATTAAAGCTACCAGTATACAGAAATAGCCTCCACACAATAGATATATACAAACTGATACACAAAATTAAGTTACTTCTTGAAAATGCTACACAAAATATCAATCTATAACTTTACAGTTTAAAACCTGTCAAGGATTTTTTTTCACTTCCCTAATTTGCTAAGAGCCCAAAACTTTTAGGTTACAAAAATATATTGTACTAAAATTACAATCAAGACTGATCTTTAGCTTTACTGCTCCTAACCAGCAACAAAATCATTTATCATATTAACACGTACAATATTTGGCACAATAAGTAAAAGATTAAAAGTGCTAACGTGACAAAAATAAATGTGAATATTGGTACATAATCTCTTAGGCAGTGCCTTAGCTTGTAGAAACCACTGCTGGCCAAGTACAAACTGCTTACTGTCCAGTGACAGGAATGTAGTGGCCATGAAGAGGCATTGGAACAGCAGATGCAGTGGTCACTGATGCTCGACATATTTCAGTCATATCTGATGCATTAAGAACCAGAAGATATGCTTTGTTTTCATCCTGAGAGTTTATACATTGCAGCAGGATGACTCCATCATCTTCATTCTTCAAAAAGAAAAGAGGAATTAGGCATGAAGTGGGACTATATACAGATTGGTATGCTGTAGTTAGTGCACTACTTTCCTATATATAACCACTATGACGATAATGCATTTTCTTTTTTTTTCAGCTGTGGTTATCCCTGTTAGGCTGTCATTTCACCATCCTCAGTGTAACAAGTGAAAACAATAAGAGTATCTTTCACAATACCCAAAGACTAAGCAGTCTCCAAGGTTCTCCTGCAGTACCTTAACAAGACCTAAAAGACGTCTAAAGTTGCTGGCAAATGGAGACAATCTGGCTACACTTATGACAGCCACACCACAGGTTGACATGCAGGAGAATGAAAGCAGCATCACAAGGCTGTGTAGAGGGCTGAAGCAGAGTTTGAAAGGTATAAACAAGCAGTTGCCTTGTGTATATATACCTGCTATCCAGGTAGGAAATGAAGTATGGCTCAAAGACCCCCACTGGGGAACTGTGGAACCTAACAGTAGTAGTGGTGGTGGAGGAGGAGGGACCAGGTTCTACCAATATATAATCAAGGCTGTATTGAGGTAACTTAGGAGCAGATCACACCTGAGGTACAACCATGATAACAGTGGGAGTTTCTCTATTTTTCTTTTTATTAATGTTAACATTTAGCTTGGCATTTTATCTCTATCAGTCAACAAAATCTTTTTTATTCTTTTTTATTTGAACACCAGAAGTGATCAGTTCCATTGTGTTTGGAACTAGCAGCACCCACTGGGCAGACGCAGAGTGGGAATTTATACTAGTTTAACCTTTAAGTCATGTCGATCAAACCGAACTAATTATTCTCACACCCAGAGCATGTTTAAAATTGGTATAGACTTAAGTTTCCTCTGGCAGGCTATTTCCTATTTAGAAGTCATATTGGCAGTTTGGAGGGATATGTTGTGTATCTTTATATGTGTATGCTTCTAGACTGTTGTATTCTGAGAACCTCTGCAAAAACAGTGATAATGTGCGAGTGTGGTGAAAGTGTTGAATGATGAAAGTATTTTCTTTTTGGGGATTTTCTTTCTTTTTTGGGTCACCCTGCCTCGGTGGGAGACGGCCGACTTGTTGAAAAAAAAAAAAAAAAAAAATCTGTATCAAGTTATCAACACACACGTACATGGAAAAACAAAATACATTCTGAAAGTGATATTTGAGTTCTGTTACAGGTTCAAGGAAAATCTGAAGTACTGTATAGATTTCAGGCTAGGGTACTAAAGATATTGAGTGAATAGTAGTGTATAAATGAATGTTCAGAGATACAGTATTAAGAATAGCATGTGTTTTCTAAAGCTTGTAAAGGTTCTGAATTCTGTTCAATAAGAATTTGCTGCATATATGCAGCAAGTTAAATGTAATACATAGTAGTATAAGGTAAGTAGTTATCCATATATATTTAACCATGCATACATTATATACTTGTGTACATATTTTCTCGTTTTACCCCCAAAGAAAATTAAAGATTAGCACAAGTAACACCAAGGGAGGGAACGGAAGCCCTAAAAAAATTCCATCAGCCCCAACAAAGCCCCCATATAAAAATAATACTGCTTCAAGGAAAGTCCCCTAGCTCTCCTCCATTCAATCTATTTTCCTATTAAGTAGCCTATATAATAGTACATGTATTAATACTCACAGTAGCCTCTGGCTTTGCTACAAATTCAGGTGCAGCACAATATATGTTGTCCTCCATAAACATGAATTTTTCTCCAGAGGCAATGTCCAGTTTCATAACCTGTCAAATTAAAATAAGGACAAATATTATGTGAACTGTAATTAGAGTTCCCATTGATATGCAATATGTACTACAAAAACTTTCCACTACAACTGTCCATTTATGTTGTGTGAAATTCTGTAGCCACATTTACATTATAAATGATGAACTACTTCTCGAAAGTATGTTTTACACTCGATTCAATAAAGGTGATATTATTGGCATACTTTCTATAAAGCCTCCAGTTGTGCAGAGCATTTCAGTACATACAATGAAACCTCAATTCTCTAATTTAATTCATTCCAGATATCAATTCAACAACCAAAATGGATGACAACCAAATCAATATTTCCCATAAAGAATAATTTAAATAGAATTTAACCATTCCAGACCCCAAATGACTAAACTGATTAAAAATGTACTACAACATAAAATTGTAAAAATGAATACTAAAAGAAACAACCTGAAATACTTTACAGTAAATGAAAATTTAACTGCCTCTCACTTCTCCAAGAAGAGCTAATACCATACTGGAAGCCAGAAGTGGAGGGGTAAAGTTACTGCTTGGAAGGAGTCACCTTCTATTAATAAGTCAGGCAACTGTCCTCCTGGTGTTGTTTCTTTTCACCACTAACATCTTGTTCTGGCTCACTGGTTCTTTGTCTTACTAAAAACCTGTCCAGTGAGGTTTGTTTCAGGCTCAATTTAGACAAGTGTTAAAATAGACATTACACTGTCACTGTACATGTGGCCACTTCTTTGTCTGGATGGTATTTTTCAGCAAACTCCTGCACTTCATGCCATTTAGCACACATTTCCCTGACAAGTGCAATGGGCATATCATCCCTTCCCTCTTCCTCTGATGACAGCAGCTCTGCTGCAATCTGTTGCTACTCCTTCTGAAGGTCTACAAATTCTTCAGTGGTAAGTTCAGTTCTATGCTCCTCCACATCATCTTCAGTCATCTCTAGGCCCAAAGTCTTTCCCAGGGAAACTATCTTCTACCAGCTCAGGCTCATCTTCAAAGTCTTCAAAATCCCTGGGTGCCACAACGTCAGGCCATAATTCTTTCCATGGTGACTGCATGGTCCTGGAAGACATTTCCTCAGGCTTTGTCTATAAGCCTCAAGCAGGTGAGGATGTTGAAATAGTCCTTCCAGAACTCCCCGAGCGTTAAATTTGTTTCTGAAGCGATTTCAAAGCACCGTTCAAAAAGTGCTCAGACCCACACTGTCGACTCGTTATCCAGTGTGCATAGGAAAACCAGGTCCCGTGGCCTGGCTGGCAAAGTTCCCACTTCACACACGGAGGGCCAGGTTTGATTCCTGGCAGGGTAGAAACATTTCGATGTGTTTCCTTACACCTATTGTCCTGTTCACCTAGCAGCAGGTAGGTACCTGGGTGTTAGTCGACTGGTGTGGGTCGCATTCTGGGAGACAAGATTGAGGACCCCAATGGAAATAAGAGTCCTCGATGATGCACTGACTGGGTGGCTAACCCTTCGGGGTTAAAAATCTGAATGAAATCTTTTTTTTTTTCTCAAATTCCTCATTCATAAACTTTTTTTTAACAAGTAATGCAGTCGACAACCAAGGCTGCTGTATCTGGTACCAGATACGTCTACTTATAGTCAAGACACGTATATATATTTACATAGCACATTACAATCGAAGTTTACAATCCCAAAATTATTACAAATTAAGCATTAAAATACTCTGAAATTTGGCCATGTTGACTGGATTATAATGTAAATGTCACCCAACAAAAGGCTGCAGTCAGAATGATAAATTCCCACTACAGACAACACATTCCACCAATATTCAAAACTCTAAACCTACTCATAATACAAAACATCCATACTTATTACTGCACCTACTACATACATAGAACACTTAACTCTGACATAAACCCGCCCCTCAAACATCTCCTTACCAACCTTAACAGAACATATGACCATAACACAAGGCACAGATCACTCTTTGATGTTCCTCGTGTCCATCTCACACTATGCAAAAACTCAATGCACATAAAAGGCCCTAAAATCTGGAATTCATTACCTGTGAATATAAAAGAAACACTACCTGTTTATAAATTCAAGTCTCTTCTCAAAAGTCACTTACTCACCCGCAACTTAATAAATACTGAATAATTGTGTCTCATAAATTGTATCTCATAAATGTCAACCTGTGACCCAATCAAACTTTGTTACTATTTAACTTCATTACCTAACAGAATACTCCATTCTACTGATTACACAGCAACACAGTAAATGACCATATGACCTGTCTTTATAATACTCATTTGTACTAAATTATCTGTTTTACATTAATTTTGTACCACTGAATATATCATTGCTAAGTTAATCTTAAGTTAATTTTAAGCCTGCCCATAATGCTCTGCATACAAGGGAGCTTTGGCATGTTGCACTTTAAAAATTGTATTCCTTGTACTTCTCTGTATCATGTTTAAATTAATAAATAAATAAATAAATAAATAAAACAAGAGCTATACAAAAAGTAAAAACCTCAAAGAAAAGGATGCAGTGAAAATTTAACCACTGGCTAAATTTCTGAAGAATGATCTTAAAAAAAAAAAAAAAAAAATCCTTTCTCGACATTCTAGTCACCTCTTACAACACGTATGGCTTACAGAGAAAGAATTCTTTGCCACTTTAACATGTAACCTGATATCCACAAGAAACAAAATTTGTAAAAATTATACAGTACTGTATATAGTCATCAGTTTACTCAATCTTCAGAACTATGCAAAACCCAAAAAAATTTAATATAAATTACTATTAATAAATTTTTCCACAATAGAAAATACAAAAAATTCAGAACAAAACTGTAGCAATTACTCACAAAACCAGAATCTCCTCCATTGGGGTCTGGGCCCATAGCCCAGAGATACTGGTGCTTTAAGGCCCTCTTCTTTGGGTTTATGCATGGGTTTTCAAGAGGAATCTGTGTCAGCTTCTCTCTTTGTAGTAATATCTGAAGAAATAACTTGGGCTTTATATAAAACTAGCAACCCTACAAAAATCAGCTTCATGGTATTTATCTGAAAACCTGCTAATGCTCATTTCCCTAGAGAGATGGTAGTCATAATGATGTCTACAGCTACATCAAATATGCCTTCTTCCCCCTCCCTTTTCTACTTCTCGTCTTCTTAGCATTTTTCCTAGGTGTATTCCTCTACTGTTAAGAATTAAAAGTTTCAAATACAATTGTTCATTACAGTGTACTACCAGGTACTATAATCAGCTCAGCTAATAAAATAAGAGTCTAGTCCTTGAACTACTGCCCAATGGAAAGGTATGGGGGTACATAATGAAGCTATGTCAGGACAGGATCACAACAATGAGTAATCTGATTTTTGACTATGTATTGAAAGTTCCTGACCTAAGGATTGGCTAAATAAAACTGTTGAATCACCATGCTGCACATCCATTCTATATTAATTTAAGGATCCTAACTCAGCAAGAATAATTAAAACTCCAATAATATAAAAATCAAAGTTAGTTCACAACCTGTTGCAACCCCTGAATGGGTTACAATGATTATTATGTATATATAATGTATATTACCTTTTCATTTAATTTTATATTGCTTATATTTGCGATAATAGCTAAATCGTAAATGTATGACTTTATATTATTATTTGACTGTTATATTGTTATTTGACTTTTGTTAGGATGTTTATAAAATGTGCTCAGTTAGTCTTGATTGTCAAACTACTGTAATTATCGCTTGTCGCTCGTTATACTGCCGGCTTCTGAGCTGCAGTTGTCCACGTAGCTATCACGTGATCGAGGGGGGGGTGTCCTCACCTCGTGTGAAGTATTCAGTCTGCTGGAGACTCGCTTGGTGGTTGGACAGATTGTCTGTCTCATTATTCTTGTTAGTTCTGTAGAACTCTGTTCTCAGAACATTGTAAAGACTTAGTGATTTTCGACGTTGTACTGAGGTTGTGTGTCACTTAGACACTCTGAACATCTCAGGTCCTTAGCTATAGCTTCTGACCTAATTTTGTACTGGTTCCTGTGTATTGTCACAGTCGCGTTTTCCTATGCTGAACGTAGATTCAGTATTATGGGAGTTCTGTAACTTTCGTGGAGGATCTGCTGATGGTCCCTACTTAGTGTCGTTATATTATTCCCCTCTTGTTCCTGATTCTGTGTCGCAGTCGTTTTGATATTGCATTGCTATTGGGCTTAGCATTTTTTTGTGTTCAAGCAGACTTGTTCGGGTTGCCAGTCGGTCAAGAAGTTAGTTTATTTGAGGACCTTTGTCAGTCACTTGTTTAAGTCTTATTCGAGTTTTGAGACATAGCTAACTACTTAAGAGCACTTACACGCTAACACACTTACTTGTACATATTTGTAATATCTTATTAAATGTTAATGTACCTGACGGGTACTTAAGAATTATAAATGGATATGTGCTTTCAGCACAATAATATTAAAACCGAGAGATTGATTTTATTTTGATTGAGTGATTTAATTTACTTTGATAATATACCTCTAGACAATTATAGACTTAATAAATTTATTAAATTTTAATTTCTCTAGTTAGTAGCCTCCCAGTTGTAACCCTAAAGCACTATTGAACCATACTAAAATTTTAATGGATAATTGGACAAGGATACTGACTACTTGTTACAAAAACCCAGTAACGGGCTGGATGCTAGAAGGGCAGTCCTTTCTAGTATTCACTGGAGATCTCTAAGCTTTTAGAATCGCGTTTTTTTGTAACAAATGGGGGCCCGCCCGGGAGGCTCTTGACCCAAAGGTGTTGGAAAAATTGTCCAGTTTGACATACTAGTACTTCTATGATCAAACACTTGGAGTACTTTCCTAATCGAAGACTTTGAGTTTAGTCTTGTACAACATACCGGGTGGGAGTATGTACCTGACTGGTCTCTTGATCCAAGGAGATGGAAATACTGTTTATGAGTTCTAACTAAGAAAACCCAAACACTAAAATTCCTATCAGGATTATAGTTCCCATAATCATCTCTCGTAGTACAATTATTTTTGTGAGGGTATCCCAAAGTGAAAAATTTAAATTGATACTCTGACTTTGTCTGAGTTAAGTACATTAAAATTCAGAGTGTTGGCAAGTAGCCAAGTATCTCGGTGTGACATATAACAGGAATTACACCGCTGAACTGTCAGAGCATTAATTAAAGATATATTGTTTCCTGCTCATACAGAGATGTCTGATTATGATTCAGATTCAGAAAGTCTAGTGTCACAATTAGGAAGTATGACTATTTGATGAAGTTGAAGAAAGAGCAACTAGAGCAGAAGTGAGCCTAGTGTCTGAGCCTAGTGTAGCTCAGTTCTCGCTCACGCCTTCCCTCACTGACACATTAGTACAGAGTATAGCTGGTAGTATGACACAGCCTAATACTAGTACAATGTATACTACACGTGTATTTACTTTTTTCCTAGACCGATCTAGACACTCTAGAGACGGCTGGACGAAGTGTCCGACCTAAGGACCGTCCAGACCATGTTAATTTCCCTACTCCTCCATTACCTACTGGTCCTATCTCTCAGGAACAGTTTGAGAGGTTTGAACGCCTCCTTGTGTTGCAGACTGCACAAATAGAGGCACAGAGGAGATTGAACGAAGAAGTTTTCCAAAGAGAAAAATTTTTCATCTGGGAAGACAACAGACTGATAGATCACAGGACACATTTAATGTGCAGAAAACTGCATCCATGGTTTCCCAAGTTTTTTGAAAGTGACTTAGACACATATTTTGATGTGTTTGAGAACCGGCTCGTGCTATGAACTGGCCACGTAAGCACTGGGCAACATTGCTTCATACTGCTTTGACAGGAAGAGCTCAAACTTGTACGGCTGCTTTGCCATTTGCTAAGTACATTAGTTATGACGCTGTCAAACAAACTATTCTAGAGACGTATAACTTGTTACCTGTAAGTTATCAAAGAGCCTTTCGTACGTTACAACGACGACAAGATCAAACTTGTGTAGAGTTTGCTCGTGAGAAAAAAGTTGCATTTCAGAGGTGGTCTAGAGCTGCTAAATGTAACAACTACGACAGCCTTGTTCAGTTACTATATGAATGAGTCCAACGAAGCATAAAGCATTGAGAGAAGAGGTTGATTTTCTGTTAGCTCACGGACTTATTGAGCGCAGTAAAAGTCCATGGGCATCTCCCTGTATTTTAGTGCCTAAACCTGACGGTAGTTTCAGGATGTGCACTGATTACAGGAAAGTGAACTCTGTCACCTTGCCTGATGGTTATCCTCTACCTCGCATTGACGACCTTATTGACCGTGTGTCAGGAGCCCAGTTTGTCAGCCGTTTAGATCTCTTACGAGGCTATTATCAAGTCCCGCTTACTGAACGTGCTCAAGAAATATCTGGGTTTTACTGTTCAAGTGGATTGTTTAACTACCTCGTCACCCCCTTCGGCCCATGTAATGCGGCTTCTTCATTCCAACGTATAATGAACGAGTTGACCCACAACTTAGAAGGAGTAGAAGCCTACCTTGACGACTTAGTGGTGTACAGTGACGAGTGGGAACAGCACTTGACGCGTCTCAGAGCATTGTTTGAGAGACTGGCGCACTACAACTTCATGTTAAAATTAGCTAAAGTAGTTTTGGTCAAGCCAAGATTACCTATCTAGGCTTTTGTATCGGCCAAGGTGAGGTTGCTCCTATTGGGTAAGGTTCGTGCAATTTCTGAATTTCCAGTGCCACAGGATAGGAAGGGGGTACAGAGATTCCTGGGTATGGCAGGATATTATCGCAGGTTCTGTCCAAACTTTTTCAGATTGCCGCTCCTCTCACTGAGCTTACTAGTAGCAAAGTTCAGTTCACCTGGACTAGAGATTGTTCAGACTCGTTCAAAAGGTTGAAGCGCTTGCTATCCTCTGTCCTGTGTTGAAGAGTCCTAATTTCAATCTTCCCTTCTTTTTACATATAGATGCGAGTGGTTATGCAGTGGGTGCTGTGCTGCTCCAACAGTCAACATCCACTGACATTCTCCATCCTATATGTTACTATTCATCTAAGCTTAAACGACACCAGAAAAATTATGCCACTATTGAGAAAGAGGCTCTAGCTCTTGTGGTGTCATTGGAACATTTTGACGTGTATTTGGGCACTTCCCCATTTAAAATTAACGTTTTTTCTGACCACAATCCACTCACCTACATAAACACTATGAAAAGTAAAAATGCTAGGATCATGAGGTGGGCCCTCAGAATCCAACCTTATTCTATTAGTATAAAACACATGAGTGGTCATTGTAATGTAATTGCTGACGCTCTGTCTCGTCCTTAATAATTATCAATTGACAGCAACCACCCAGGGAAGTACTACCGTCCTGCCAGATGAGTGTGAAACAAAAACCTGTAACTGTTTTGCATGATGGTAGGATTGCTGGTTTCTTTTTCTGTCTCATAAACACGCTAAGATAACAGGGATATCTTGCTACTCCTACTTACACTTTGGTCACACTTCACAGACACGCACATGCATATATATATATACATACATCTAGGTTTTTCTCTTTTTTCTAAATAGCTCTTGTTCTTTTTTATTTCTTCTATTGTCCATGGGGAAGTGGAAAAGAATCTTTCCTCCATAAGCCATGCGTGTCGTATGAGGCGACTAAAATGCCGGGAGCAATGGGCTAGTAACCCCTTCTCCTGTATACAATTACTAAAAAAGAGAAGAAGAAAAACTTTATAAAACTGGGTTGCTTAAATGTGCGTGGATGTAGTGCGGATGACAAGAAACAGATGATTGCTGATGTTATGAATGAAAAGAAGTTGGATGTCCTGGCCCTAAGCGAAACAAAGCTGAAGGGGGTAGGAGAGTTTCAGTGGGGTGAAATAAATGGGATTAAATCTGGAGTATCTGAGAGAGTTTAGAGCAAAGGGAAGGGGTAGCAGTAATGTTAAATGATCAGTTAGGAAGGAGAAAAGAGAATATGAATGTGTAAAATTCAAGAATTATGTGGATTAAAGTAAAGGTTGGGATGCGAGAAGTGGGTCATAATAAGCGTGTATGCACCTGGAGAAGAGAGGAATGCAGGGGGAGAGAGAGAGATTTTGGGAGATGTTAAGTGAATGTATAGGAGCCTTTGAACCAAGTGAGAGAGTAATTGTGGTAGGGGACTTGAATGCTAAAGTAGGAGAAACTTTTAGAGAGGGTGTGGTAGGTAAGTTTGGGGTGCCAGGTGTAAATGATAATGGGAGCCCTTTGATTGAACTTTGTATAGAAAGGGTTTAGTTATAGGTAATACATATTTTAAAAAAAAGAGGATAAATAAGTATACACGATATGATGTAGGGCGAAATGACAGTAGTTTGTTGGATTATGTAAATTTGGGAGATAAAAGACTGTTGAGTAGACTTCAGGATGTACATGTTTATAGAGGGGCCACAGATATATCAGATCACTTTCTAGTTGTAGCTATACTGAGAGTAAAAGGTAGATGGGATACAAGGAGAATAGAAGCATCAGGGAAGAGAGAGGTGAAGGTTTATAAACTAAAAGAGGAGGCAGTTAGGGTAAGATATAAACAGCTATTGGAGGATACATGGGCTAATGAGAGCATAGGGAATGGGGTCGAAGAGGTATGGGGTAGGTTTAAAAAAAGTAGTGTTAGAGTGTTCAGCAGAAGTTTGTGGTTACAGGAAAGTGGGTGCAGGAGGGAAGAGGAGCGATTGGTGGAATGAATTGAATGTAAAGAGAGTAGTAAGGGAGAAAAAGTTAGCATATGAGAAGTTTTACAAAGTAGAAGGTGATGCAAGGAGGGAAGAGTATATGAGAAAAAGAGAGGAAGTAAGAAGAGAGGTGAAGCAATGTAAAAAGAGAGCAAATGAGAGAGTGGTTGAGATGTTATCAACAAATTTGTTGAAAATAAAGAAAAGTTTTGGAGTGAGATTACAAGTTAAGAAAGGCCTAGAAACAAATGGTGATTTTGTCAGTTAAAAATAGGAGAGGAGAGTTAATTAATGGAGAGTTAGAGTTATTGGCAGATGAAGGAATATTTGAGGAATTTTAAATGTTGAGAACGATAGGGAAGCTGTGATTCGTGTAATAGGGCAAGAGGCAATAACATCTTGTAGAGTGAGGAAGAGCCAGTGATGAGTGTGGGGAAGTTCGTGAGGCATGTAGGTAAAAGAAAGGGGGTAAGGCAAGCCGGATTGATGGATAAGATAGAAATGTTAAAGCAGGTGGGGATATAGTTTTGGAGTGGTTGGTGCAATTATTTAATAAAATGTATGGAAGAGGGTAATGACCTAGGGATTGCAGAGAGCATCATAATTCCCATTTGTATAAAGCAAAGGGATAAAAGAGAGTGGCAAAAATTATAGGGGGATAAGTCTGTTGAGTGTACCTGGTAAAGTGTATGGTAGATTTAATAATTGAAAAGAATTAAGAGTAAGACAGGAGAATAGGATAGCAGATGAACAAGAGGCTTTATGGAAAAGGAAGGGGGTGTGGGACCAGGTGTTTACAGTGAAACATATTAAGTGGAACAGTATTTAGATATAGGCTAAAGAGGTCTTTTTGCATTTATGGATTTGGAAAAGGCGTATGACAGGGGATAGGGGGCAATGTGGTGCAGATGTATGCAAGTGTATGGTGGTCGAGTTAGGTTACTGAAAGCAGTGAAGATTTTACGGGATAGTGAGGCTCAAGTTATGAGTATGTAGGAAAGAGGGAAATTTTTTCCAGTAAAAGTAGGCCTTAGACAAGGATGTGTGATGTACACCGTGGTTGTTTATAATATTTATAGATGGGGTTGTAAGAAAGTAAATGCGAGGTTTTGCAAGAGCTGGATTAAAAGATAAAGATCACACACAAAGTGGGAGTTTGTCACGTGCTCTTGCTGATACACTGTGCTCTGGGAGATTCTGAAGAGAATTGCAAGTTGGTGGATGAATGTGGTAGGGTTGTGCAAAAGAAAAAATTAAAGGTGAATACAGGAAAGAGTAAGGTTATGAGGATCACAAAAAGATTAGGTGATGAAAGATTGAAATATCAGATTGAGGGAGAGAGTATGGAGGAGGTGAACGTATTTCAGATATTGGGAAATTGGAACGTGTCAGCGATTGGGTGCTATGAAAAGATGAGGTGAATCCATAGAATTGTGATGAGGAAAAAAAGTGAGTGTCACTTGGAGTCCTGTGGAAACAAGAACTTTGTCCTTGAGGCAAAGAGGGAATGTATGAGAGTATATTTTACCAACGCTCTATATATGGTGTGAAGCGGGGTGATGAATGTTGCAGCGAGGATGAAGGCTGGAGGCAAGTGGATGATGTCATGTCTGAGGGCAATGTGTGGTGTGAATAAAATGCAGAGAATTCTAGTTTGGAAGTATCAGAGAGGTTGCGGGATTACCAAAACTGTTTATTCCAGAGTCTGAGGAAGTTGTTGAGGTGGTTCGGACATGTAGAGAGAAATGTAGCGAAAACAGAATGACTTCAAGAGTGTAGCAGTCTGTAGTAGGAAGGAAGGCGTGGTAGGGGTCGGCCTTGAAAGGTTGGAGGGAGGGGTAAAGAGTTTTGTGTGCGAGGCTTGGACTTCCAGCAGGCATGCGTGAGCGTTTTTGTAGGAGTTGAATGGAGAAAATGTTTTTTTAAATACTTGACGTGGCTGTTGGAGTGTGAGCAAAGTACATTTATGAAGGGATTCAGGGAAACCGGCAGGCCGGACTTGAGTCCTGGAGATGGGAAGTACAGTGCCTGCACTCTGAAGGAGGGGTGTTAATGTTGCAGTTTAAAAACTGTAGTGTAAAGCACCCTTCTGGCAAGACAGTGATGGAATGAATGATGGTGAAAGTTTTTCTTTTTCGGGCCACCCTGCCTTGGTGGGAATCGGCCGGTGTGATAATAAAAAAAAAAAAAAAAAAAAAATTTTATGCCCAAATACCTTTTGTTACTTGCTATGTCAAATTCAGTAAAGTAACTTAATCCATCCAGCCCATATTAACTATATATACTCATGTCATGTCTAATTATTATATTTATATATTCACAGTAATGTTGTGTGAGGAGGAAACAAGCTGAGTGTTGAGTGAGTAGTGTGGTGTGGGTGATGTACTGCGTGACGCAACACTGTCCTGCCGCAGACCCCCCCTCACTACACACCTTAAGCTGTTTCATACTCAGATGTTCATACTGCCTAGCATTCCACAACCACTACTTAAGAGTGGAATGCAGTCTCCTCTACTATGATCGAGCCTCAACGTGCCCTCCTTGTCAGCGCTATTCTGTCTCTACACTGATGTACATAACCACGAGTATGAAGAGATACGATACTGTGTACTGCCCTAGTACCAAGGGGCATATCCTAGTGATGGACGCTGTAAAATTGTAGAAGTGCTTGGCACAAAAGAGAGACTGAGTAATATTTATTTTGATAATAATATTGACATGAGTAACCAGAAATAATGTGAAAGACATTCATGCAACTCCTAGTGCGACCCTCTGTCGTGTTGGGGGGGGTGTTGCAACCCCTGAATGGGTTACAATGATTATTATGTATATATAATGTATATTACCTTTTCATTTAATTTTATATTGCTTATATTTGCGATAATAGCTAAATCGTAAATGTATGACTTTATATTATTATTTGACTGTTATATTGTTATTTGACTTATGTTGTTAGGATGTTTATAAAATGTGCTCAGTTAGTCTTGATTGTCAAACTACTGTAATTATCGCTTGTCGCTCGTTATACTGCCGGCTTCTGAGCTGCAGTTGTCCACGTAGCTATCACGTGATCGAGGGGGGGGGTGTCCTCACCTCGTGTGAAGTATTCAGTCTGCTGGAGACTCGCTTGGTGGTTGGACAGATTGTCTGTCTCATTATTCTTGTTAGTTCTGTAGAACTCTGTTCTCAGAACATTGTAAAGACTTAGTGATTTTCGACGTTGTACTGAGGTTGTGTGTCACTTAGACACTCTGAACTTCTCAGGTCCTTAGCTATAGCTTCTGACCTAATTTTGTACTGGTTCCTGTGTATTGTCACAGTCGCGTTTTCCTATGCTGAATGTAGATTCAGTATTATGGGAGTTCTGTAACTTTCGTGGAGGATCTGCTGATGGTCCCTACTTAGTGTCGTTATATTATCTCCTTGTTCCTGATTCTGTGTCGCAGTCGCTTGATATTGCATTGCTATTGGGCTTAGCATTCTTTGTTGTTCAAGCAGACTGTTCGGGTTGCCAGTCGGTCAAGAAGTTAGTTTATTTGAGGACTTTGTCAGTCACTTGTTTAAGTCTTATTCGAGTCTTGAGACATAGCTAACTACTTAAGAGCACTTACACGCATACACACACTTACTTGTACATATTTGTAATATCTTATTAAATGTTAATGTACCTGACGGTACTTAAGAATTATAAATGTGATATGTGCTTTCAGCACAATAATATTGAACTCGAGAGATTGATTTTATTTTGATTGATGTGATTTAATTTACTTTGATAATATACCTCTAGACAACTTATAGACTTAATAAATTTATTAAATTTTAATTTCTCTAGTTAGTAGCCTACCAGTTGTAATCCTAAAGCACTATTGAACCATACTGAATTTTAATGGATAATTGGACAAGGATACTGACTACTTGTTACAAAAACCCAGTAACAGGCTGGATGCTAGAAGGGCAGTCCTTTCTAGTATTCACTGGAGATCTCTAAGCTTTTAGAATCGCGTTTTTTTGTAACACAACCTCAAATCAAAAAATTGAAGCAATAATATTGCCTCATCAGTTCTTGCCTTACCTCATTACCAGACCATGAAGCTGTGCAAGAAGTTCCTGGCAGTGTGATCAACTTGTCCTTTCCTTTGGTATTGAGAGGTATAACAAATCTGTGTAATGTTGACTTAAAGGAATCTACGTAGTCTTGAGTGTTCTTCCCTCGCTGTTCCTGTAAAACAACACATTTAGTTTATTAAACTAATTGTAAACTAAGTTGCACTTATGAAAATGGTTTTGAAAACAGACAAGTTGAAGAATGAGACACTTGTACAACATTTGGAAATCTAAGGCAATGTTTCAACATTTTGTCAGTAAGTGGTTTCAGTCCAGTTTACCTGGAGAGAGTTCCGGGGGTCAACGCCCCTGCGGCCCGGTCTGTGACCAGGCCTCCTGGTGGATCAGAGCCTGATCAACCAGGCTGTTACTGCTGGCTGCACGCAAACCAACGTACGAGCCACAGCCCGGCTGGTCAGGAACCGACTTTAGGTGCTTGTCCAGTGCCAGCTTGAAGACTGCCAGGGGTCTATTGGTAATCCCCCTTATGTATGCTGGGAGGCAGTTGAACAGTCTCGGGCCCCTGACACTTATTGTATGGTCTCTTAACGTGCTAGTGACACCCCTGCTTTTCATTGGGGGGAATGTTGCATCGTCTGCCAGTCTAGTCTTTTGCTTTCGTAGTGAGTGATTTTTGTTTTCAAGTTCGGTACTAGTCCCTTTAGGATTTTCCAGGTGTATATAATCATGTATCTCTCACGCCTGCGTTTCAGGGAATACAGGTTCAGGAACCTCAAGTGCTCCCAGTAATTTAGGTGTTTTATCTCCGTTATGCGCGCCATGAAGGTTCTCTGTACATTTTCTAGGTCAGCAATTTCACCTGCCTTGAAAGGTGCTGTTAGTGTGCAGCAATATTCCAGCCTAGATAAAACAAGTGACCTGAAGAGTGTCATCATGGGCTTGGCATCCCTAGTTTTGAAGGTTCTTATTATCCATCATTATCATCCTGTACAGAGAAAAATGGTGGAAGACGAGTAATTTGAGGTTTTCAGTCCCTCAGACCAGAGATGATAGACTGAACACTGATTCCAGGCTGAGGGACTGATTACCTCAAATCCATCTCCCACTGTTCTTTGTATTGGACTGAAGAAGCCACTGTCTGGCAAAACATTTCCTCAATGAAGATTCCCAAATGTTGCACAAGTGTCTCATTCTCAGTTACACCTCCATTATGATGTTTATTTAATTTTAAAGTGTTGAACTATTAAAGGCATTTGTTCATTACAGGTGTCTGATATGCAAGAATTTTACATTTATCAATTATTGTAAATAACTAATACTACATCTAGTAGAAGAAAAATCCATCTAGTGATGCAAACTTTAGTCAACTTTGTTCCCAATCCTCAGTTCATAATCATATTCCTGGGGAAGTTTTAAACTTTTAAGTTACACGGCACCTGGGAAATGATACGTAATAAGGTTTGGTCCAAGGAAGGGCACATAGCTAAGTTCCCTAAATTAAAAGCCTTTCCACCAGCATCAAGGCACCTTCCCTGAAGGCCCTAATCCTCTTAACATTCTCTGTCTCCAGTAATATTCAGATTTAAGGCTAGAAATAGCTGATGGGATTTTTGAGACCCACAATCCAAAAGTTTATCGACAGGTTTAGAGGGGCCACAGATACATTAGATCACTTTTTAATTGTAGCTACAGAGTAAAAGGTAGATGGGATACAAGGAAAATAGAAGCAGCAAGTAAGAGGCGAAGATTTATAAACTAGAGAAGGCAGTTAGGGTAAGATATAAACAACTATTGGAGGATAGATGGGCTAGTGAGAGTATAGGCAATGGGGTCAAAGATGTATGGGGTAGGTTGAAGAATGTAGTGTTAGATTGTTCAGCAGAAGTTGGTAGTTACAGGAGAGTGGGTGCAGGAGGGAAAAAGAAAAAAAAAAAAAAAAGAGTGATTAGTAGAATGATGTAAAGAGTAGTTAGGGATGTAAAGAGTAGTTAGCATATGAGAGGCATTTACAATGTAGATGTGATGCAAGGAGGGAGGAGTATACAGAGATAAAGAGGTTAAGAGTGGTGAAACAATGTAAAAAGAGCAAATGAGAGAGTGGATGAGATGTTATCAACAAATTTTGTTGAAAATATGAAAGTTTTGGAGCGAGATTAATAAGTTGAGGAAGCCTAGGGAACAAATGGATTTGATAGTTAAAAATAGGAGAGGAGAGTTAAGAGGTATCGGGAAGATGGAGGGAATATGTTGAATTGTTAAACGTTGATGAAGATAGGGAAAGCTGTGAATACGTGTATAGGACAAGGAGGAATGACATCTTGTAGGAGTGAGGAAGAGTCAGTTGTGAGTGTGGGGGAAGTTCATGAGGCAGTGGGACTGATGGGATAAAGAAAAGTTAAAAGCAGGTAGGGGATATAGTTTTGGAGTGGTTGGTGCTTTTACTTAATAAATGTATGGAAGAGGATAAGGTACCTAGGGACTGGCAGAAAGCATGCATAGTTCCTTTGTATAAAGGCAAAGGAGAAAAAGAATGCAAATATTATAGGGGAATAAGTCTGTTGAGTATACCTGGTAAAGTGTATGGTAGTTATTATTGAAAGAATCAAGAGTACGATGGAGAGTAGGATAGCAGAGAAACAAGGAGGCTTTAGGAAAGGTAGGGGTTGTGTAGACCAAGTGTTTACAGTGAAACAGGTGAAGAGCATATAAACAAGGGAAGAGAGGCTTTTGTAGCCTTTATGGATTTGGAAAAGGCATACAACAGGGTGATTAGCAGGGAATGTGGCAGATGTTGCAAATGTATGGAATAGGAGGTAGGTTACTGAAGAGTTTTTATGAGGATAGTGAGATTCAGGTTAGAATATGTAGGAGAGAGGGAGATTATTTACCAGTAAAAGTAGGCCTTAGACAAGGATGTGTGATGTCACCATGGTTGTTCAATATATTTATAGATGGGGTTGTAAGAGAGGTGAATGCTCAGGTGTTGGCAAGAGGTGTGGGGTTAAAAGATAAACAATCTAACACAAAGTGGAAGTTGTCACAGTTGCTCTTTGCTGATGACACTGTGCTTTTGGGAGATTCTGAAGAGAAGTGCAGAGGTTGGTAGACGAGTTTGGTTAATATAGGAAAAAGTAAGGTGATAACAAAAAAAAATTACAAAACGAAAGATTGGATATCCAATTGGGGGGAGAAAGTATGGAGGAGACTAGTATTCAGTCATTTAAGAGTGGATGTGTCAGCAGATGGGTCTATGAAAGATGAGGTGAATCATAGAATTGATATGGGGAAAAAAGGCGAGTGGTGCACTTAGAAGTCTGTGGAGACAAAGAACTTTTCCATGGAGTTATACCAATGCTCTTATATGGGTGTAAGTCATGGGTGGTGAACGTTGCAACAAGGAAAAGGCTGGAGACAGTGGAGATGTCATGTCTGAGAGCAACATGGTGTGAATATAATGCAGAGAATTCATAGTTTGGAAATTAGGAGGTGTGGGATTACCAAAACTATTATCCAGAGGCTGAGGAGGGGTTGTTGAGGTGGTTCAGACATGTAATGAAGTTGGAACAAAATAGAATGACTTTGAGAGTGTATAAATTGTAGTGGAGGGAAGGCAGGGTGGAGGTTGACCTAGGAAAGGTTGGAGGGAGGGGGAAGGGGGTAAAGGTTTTGTGAGAGGGGCTTGGACTTCTAGCAAGCATGTGAGCATGTTAGATAGGAGCAAATAGAAGCAAATGGTTTATAGGACTGTGCTGTTGGAGTGTGAGCAAGGTAACATTTATGAAGGGATTCAGGGAAACCAGCAGGCCAGACTTGAGTCCTGGAGATGGGAAGTACAGTGCCTGCACTCTGAAGGAATGGTGTTAATGTTACAGTTTTATAACTAGTGTAAGTGTGCCTCTGGCAAGACACTCACGGAGTGAATGATGGTAAAAGTTTTTCTTTTTTGGACCACCCTGCCTTGGTGGGAGACAGCCGAGTATTAACAACAAAAAATAAATATAAGTATTAAGCATTTACAGAGCTATATTTATTAAAAAAAAAAAGTTTAGTAATGCTATACAAAATGTCAGAAAATTTAGTTCTTTATTTTTAATTCTAACTACTAAACAGTTTCCAACCAAAAGATAATAAATTTTATAATTCAGTAATCAGTACTAAACAATATTTTCAAACTTACTCTTAGGGTATTAATGAACATATTATGCAAGATTGAAGAGTCCTTGTAGGTTGGCACATCAAGAACAATGTGTTCACCATCCTCATAGGCATTCGCTATGTGCATGAAGAAGAAAGGGTCTGCAACATACCTTGTTTTCACCTGTTTCCATGTTTTTCTGTCAACTATGTGGATAAGCACCTATGCACAAATACAAAAAATATTTGTTAAGACTGCATATACAATTTTCAGTAACATGTGTTTTGTAAAGATACTGCAAGGCATTTTTGTAGCACACAAATAACTGGCACAAACTTATGGCAACGTGTCTAACTAGGATCATTAACAAGTTGCACAGAAATGTGAAGGGAAGAGTGAATATTTACGAGAAGGGGAGTGAGAATATAGGGAGTATAACTAGAGGAGAGAATAGTATTACAGTGGTAGTACTAGCAGAAAAAGTAGCACAATAGTTTTATAGGTGGCAATCGGAAGGTAGTAGTGGTAATATTAAAACGAGATTAATCATAGATTTATCTGGAATAAAATAACACAGTAAGTTTGGGTTTGGGATATTGGCAGTCTGGAGGGATATACAGTATTGTGTATTTTTTATATGTATATACTTCTAAACTGTTGTATTCTGGACACCTCTGCAAAAACAGTGATTATGTGTGAGTGAGGTGAAAGTGTTGAATGAGGAAAGTATTTTCTTTTTGGGTATTTTTTCTTTCTTTTTGGGTCACCCTGCCTCAGTGGGGACTGCCGACTTGTTTGGGAGGAAAAAACAAAAATTCTGAATCAATCGACCATGCGTAAGTTAGAAAAATAAGGCTGACATGATAAATTTAACTATATAATGCAAGCACTCTCCATGGGGAAGTGGAACAGAATTCTTCCTCCGTAAGCTATGCGTGTCGTAAGAGGCTACTAAAATGCCGGGAGCAAGGGGCTAGTAACCCCTTCTCCTGTATATATCACTAAATTTAAAAGGAGAAACTTTCGTTTTTCCTTCTGGCCCATCCCAACTCAGTGGGATACAGCCGGTGTGTTGAAAGAAAAAGAAAATGCAAGCACATGTCTAAGCACTAGTCCAAAAAAATATTCATTTGGGCTTTTCAAATAAAATTTCAATTGATTATAAAAAAGTCTGCTAAAAGAACCTATGTGTTAACAGTTATTTCACAGTACTACATAATAATCATAGTTTAAGATGGTTTAGAAAAAATTAAAAAGAAACTGTCATGGTATTCTGGCACATTAGATATTGGAATACTGCACAATGAATAAAATAACAGCAACCAGTAGAGTGGCACAAGTTACAGGAATATGAATACAACCTTTTCACAAAGATTTTAAGTTTTAGATATCGAGCAAGAACTAGATCAGACTATAAAAATACAGGGAAAACCAAATTCGACGAAAACTGAAGCAATATTTCCCTATGAGAAATAATGTAAATCCAATTAATCCATGCCAGACACCCAAAAGTATTAACAAAAAACACATTTTATAGAGAATAACCAATTTTACATACAGAAAACAATGAGAAACAAATCTAAAGGACTAATGAAATGGATAAATGAACATTTAATATCGCTTTTACCTTTATTGAAGACTTGTTGGCACATGGAAGACAGCAAGGAGGGGAGAGGGAGGAGAGGTTATCTCTACCACCATTACTACCACCCTCTACCAACAAGAAACAAAACCAGACTGACTCAGAACGTGTGGGATGTTTTGTGTGGGTGCAGGCGGACACGTTTGGTACGGCGGACCACTGTCAACTAAATTCAAATTCAAAGTTTATTCTCTATAAAGATTACAATGTTGAATTTACAGAATTTGGTTGTGTGGTTTACATGTAGTTAAATAATGATTACAGAGTGTACCACTAGAACGCCTAGCATGGCTAGGCATTTCGGGCAGACTTAGTTTAATTCTTTATTTTAAAATATTACAAATTATGAGGTAAGTTGGTATTATGGCTAAGTGACTAAATACTAGTTTGTGAGTTTAGCAATGTGAATGCTTTTGTTTTGGCACAGTACATAGTTTCAGTATTGGAGTATCATAGGATTCATTATTTTAAGATTGAGATTAATATTTCTGTTTATGGTCAAATGGGTGAGTGAGTAAGTGTGAACCACCAGGTGGTATTCGTGTAGTTAGTTGATGGGGTGTATCAGGGAGATAAGATGTTTTCTAATGGTAGTTTTGAAGGTGATGAATGTGTCTGCAGTTCTAGAGTTCTCAGGTAGGGTGTTCAAGATTTTAGGGCCTTTGACATACATTGAATTTTTGTAAAGGTTTAGTCGGACACGGGGAATGTTGTAGAGATGTTTGTGTCTGGTGTTATGCCTGTGGGTTTTGTCACAACTATCAAGAAAGCATTTTAGGTCAAGGTTGATATTGGAGTTTAAGGTCCTGTAGATGTAGATTGCACAGTAGTAAGTGTGGATGTACTGAACAGGGAGTAAGTTTAGATCTATGAAGAGTGGGGGTGTGTGTTGCCAGGGATGGGATTTAGTGATTATTCTTACTGCAGCTTTTTGTTGGGTTATTATTGGCTTTAGGTGTGTTACTGCAGTTGATCCCCAAGCACAAATAGCATAGGTGAGGTATGGATATAAAAGTGAATGGTATAGTGTGATAAGGGCAGTTTGCGGCACGTAGTATCGTATCTTGGAGAGGATCCCAACCGTTTTGGATACTTTTTTGGTTATGTGTTGGATATGGGTGCTGAAATTCAGGTTGTCAAGGTACAGGCCTAGGAATTTGCCCTCATTATGTCTGGTAATTAGAGTGTTGTCGATCTTAATGTTAATTTGTGCATCTCCTGCTCTGCTACCAAACATAATATAGTAGGTTTTGTCAGTGTTAAGCGTAAGTTTATTGGGTGTCATCCAAGTCGATATTTTGATCAGCTCCTCGTTAACAATGGTGTTGAGGGTGGCAAGATTAGGGTGAGAGATGACATAAGATGAAAACCAAGGTGACGAGCAAAAACTGGGACAAAATTTTGACGAAGTCATCGAAAACTGAATTTGACAAAAAACCAGGGCAAACAAAAACCGAGGTTCCACCAATATTGAAAAGTGTATCGATTAAGTATACAGTGGACCCCTGGTTAACGATATTTTTTCACTCCAGAAGTACGTTCAGGTGCCAGTACTGACCGAATTTGTTCCCATAAGGAATATTGTGAAGTAGATTAGTCCATTTCAGACCCCCAAACATACACGTACAAACGCACTTACATAAATACACTTACATAATTGGTCGCATTTGGAGGTGATCGTTATGCGGGGGTCCACTGTACTTTCATTTTTCGTACAAGTACCTGTGTTAAGTTCTGACTAATTACTTACTGGTTCATTGTGCCACTTCAGACCAGCAATGAATGGAGCATTGCTGACTATATCGCTCAATAGCTCTGAAAGAGAGACCGCTAATGGTTGTTCAATAAGCACAGCATAATTTTCAGTCATAGCCATCGAGTGCATGTATGCTGGAGACAATCTCCAGCGTGCTGGTACAGAAGCCACAATCTTGCCTTCTTTTAAATTTCCTGAAAAGAGAAAATATAATATAGTAACATTAGTAACAAGTTGAAGACATTACAGTTCAATGGGTCAACACTAGAATAATTTAGTCTGTGCCTTTACTGAAAAAACTATAAACCATTAAATTTATTTTTTCTATGGCTTAATTTTCCTCAAAGGAAAGTAAGTAGATTCAAGGAAAGGGGGTCACTGCAATGTGGGCAAATGCCCATCTATGGGGGGTATATTAAAATGTTAAGTTTTATGTATAATTTTTTGGCTCATTTACATAATCATAAAATTTTATAGCTTTGTCAAAAAGTTTAAAGTGATTTAGACTGAATTTTACTTTACTTTAAACAGGTCACTGCAAATGTTAAGTATCTGGTAGTAAAGAATTTGAACATAAGCACTTAGTGGTAATAAGATTTTGCTTGGATTTTTAACCTGGAGGATTAACAACCCAAGATACCCAATAGAGTCAGCACATTACTGGAGACTTATTTCCACTGGATTATTATTATTATAATCAAAAAGAAGCACTAAGCCACAAGGGCTATACAGTATTTCCACTGGAATCTTTTTTTTTTTTTTCCCAGGATACAATCCACGATCTGTTGCAGTGTGAGCAGGGTAATATTTAGTGAAGGGATTCAGGGAAACCGGTTATTTTTATATAGCCGGACTCAAGTCCTGGAAATGGGAAGTACAATGCCTGCACTTTAAAGGAGAGGATTCAGGATATTAGCAGTTTGGAGGGATATGTTTTGTCTCTTTATATGTACATTATATGCTTCTGAACTGTTGTGTTCTGAGCACCTCTGCAAAAACAGTGATTATGTGTGAGTGAGGTGAAAGTGTTGAATGATGAAAGTATTTTCTTTTTGGGGATTTTCTTTCTTTTTGGGGGATTTTTTCTTTTTGGGGATTTTCTTTTTTGGGTCACCCTGCCTCGGTGGGAGATGGTCGACTTTTTAAAAAAAAAAAAAAAAAAACTCAACAGTTGGGTAACACTCAGGTACCTACTTACTGTCTCTTGAACAGAGGCAGAAGGTGTACTGATATGTACACAATGTTTCACCTATGCTGGGGATCGATCCTGGTGCCTCACTGTGCAAACTAAGAACACTGCCACTCAAGCCACAATCACCCAAGTTATACGAAGTTATTGTCATACAGAGAAACAGTATAAAACAGTGTATAAGCTTTAATATTAAAATTACCAAGTTTAATTAAGTTTGATGAGTTTTTAAAGAGCCTTTGTTCATTGAATGACACTTTCAAAACATTTCCTTCAATAAATGTCCTGAACTGTGTCTTCCCCCATCTTGTCATTGTCACCATACCATTTACCTTCAGATTTCCTGTTATACAACTGTGTAACAAAAGCCTGTTTAATGTTTTGCACTAGTATTTCTGGTCTGTCTCAAGCAGGTAAATCAAACTTCTACTTGTGGTGTATATATATATATTCTTTCTTCTTTCTTTCAACACACCGGCCGTATCCCACCGAGGCGGGGTGGCCCAAAAGAAAAAACCAAAGTTTCTACTTTCAAATTTAGTAATATATACAGGAGAAGGGGTTACTAGCCCCTTGCTCCCGGCATTTTAGTCGCCTCTTACAACACGCATGGCCTACGGAGGAAGAATTCTGTTCCACTTCCCCATGGAGATAAGAGGAAATAAACAAGAACAAGAACTAGAAAGAAAATAGAAGAAAACCCAGAGGGGTATGTATATATATGCTTGTACATGTATGTGTAGTGTGACCTGAGTGTAAGTAGAAGTAGCAAGACGTACCTGAAATTTTGCATGTTCATGAGACAGAAAAAAAGGACACCAGCAATCCTACTATCATGTAAAACAATTACAGGCTTTCATTTTACACTCACTTGGCAGGACGGTAGTACCTCCCTGGGTGGTTGCTGTCTACCAACCTACTACCTATATAGCACACGCTCACTTTTTAGCATCTCTTACAAGGTCTGGGTCCTGTGAAATTTCACTTACAACTGAGGAAACATGATCTAGGACCTGGAATTTATTACCAACTTTTGAGAGTTGTAAACTTTTACCAAGGTACAAGCACCAAGGTACAAGTAACCAGATATATAATAAACTTTCAATGTAACTTATCTAACAAAATATTATGTATTACTTTAATCTTTCAAAATGTTATTCAAGCTATTAGTACCACACAATCCAGTATAGTCCTGCACTTTATAAATTCTATATATGTACTGTACATACATGTATATTCTTGTACAGTATTAATAAAAACTGTCAGAAAGCATGCACACTGTGCTCTACATACCATCAAGGGGAAACCGAAGAATGTTATACTTGGGTCCAGTCACACCTACACCCTGACCAACAGTATACACTCCATCACTTGCTACAATGGGATGAGGGCTTTGTGTCATCAAACCATACCTCTTGTTGACATTTATCTAAGAAAAGGAACAAAAAGTTAAGCTACCTAAAATATTACTCTAGCATAACCTGAAATATTGCACATGTAAAACTTGTGCTCTGTAAATAGTTTACTATTAAGCATATAATAATTTAAGACAAATTTCTCAAATAACTTAGTACAAATAAAATGTCTTATTACTATACATACTCTTTCTTTTGTGTCAAGATTGTCTGGGTTGATTTGCAGCATGAATGGCGTCTCACACATTGCAAAGTGGTGCTCGCCAATACCAATGACCGACACTAGTGCATTGTCAGAAAACATCTTTTCAGGATCCATAGCATCCAGAAGCCTGCATTTTCAAAAAGAAACTGGATGGAATTTAATCCTGCAAATTACATGAACATGTTATTAAAGCTGCACTCTGTATTATACAGTACATAAATGTATTAAAATTTTAAAATGCCTATTTTCAGCTACATATTAAATAAAATCTTACTTGGAGGATTGTTTTTAATATTGGCTATCTCCCACTGAGGCAGGGCACCCCCCCCCCCAAAAAAAAAAAAAAAAAAAAAAAGATTTTGAAGTTTTCTTTTCACTTGGTAATTTATACAGGAGACAGGGTTACTAGCCCCTTCCCCCTGGCATTTTAATTGCCTCTTACAACATGCATTGGCTTATGAAGAAAATTCTTCACTTCCCCATGGAGAGAGGATAAAATAAAGTTAATTCAATAATGCATTCAATCTACGGCATTTGTGATTATTTGCAATGGTCATTAATCAATACATGATAATATACACTTGGAAAATCCTAGAGGAATTGGTACCAAACTTGCACAAGATTGATCAGACCCTGATCCACCATGAGGCCTGGTCTCAGACTGGGCTATGGGGGCCATTGATCCCCAAAACCCTCTCCAGGTAATATATAAATAGTGGTCAACCATCTCCAAAATAATTTAATTATCTTTACATTGCATAAACCTTTCCATATTCAGTCTCCAAAAACTCAGATTAGTCTCTTCTGAAATTTTATGAATATACAGTCTTACCCTGCCTATGTTATTAATTGGTTCCAAGAGCCTTGATGTAACACGGTTTTTGACATTAACTGGACATTATGCTTTAAAAATGCCTTAAAATGATGACAAAAACCATAAAACTATAAATAACCAGTGAAAGAATATAACTATTGCTAAACCTTGAACACGAAAAACACATTTTGGTCACATTTTTTAAGAATAATGAACAATTAAAAAAATTATGATGTAGGCGACGTTGCCGAGTGACGTAAAGTCAGACGTAATGACGTATTCCGACCTGAAATTTACTCTAGAAAAGTGACAAAGGCAAATATGATGTCGGCTGAAATAAAGCGGGGTATGACTGTACAATCAATCTTTTTGTAACACATTAGCAGCTATGATAAATGATGTAAGAGATGCTATCGAGCAAGACACTATTCATATCAAGCAAAAATTATACTTTACAGGTTACTTCTACCTTGAAAACATTCCCTTCGAGGCTGGGGCAGGGGTGCCAAACTCTGCACGTGTGATTGTGCCAGCAGCTTGATTTTGTTCATAAGTCTTAGAGCGCACAAAACGGCTACTGTATTTTACCATTCCATTAGAAATCTCAAACCTGAAATATAAATTTAAGAGTCAATACAATCAAAATGAACAATCCAATTTTAAAATTTAAATGGGAGAATTAGTCCACAAATAAATTATACCTCAGTCCCCTCTGAAAATATATGCAGAAAATGCTATAAACAATACAGAAGTGCAAGTCGACTGAAAAATTTGTATATAGCTGAACTGTAATCAAAAGAAAATGTGCTATACAGCAAGCCACGAATACAGCAGTCTTGCAGTTAATTAGACAATGGGAGGGCCTTTGTTAGAAAAATGAAAAACAAAGTTAAGATTAAATAACCATGCAAAGGCACATTAGTTTAATATGTATTTTTATTACACACCCCATACTTATCTTGTGGGAATGGCACATAGAAAACTGTGGAATACTGTACAGAAAAGAATATTAAGTACTGCAGGCCCAGTCTACTGTACTTGTTCAGTGGTAGAGAGCTGGAAGAGCGGGAAAAAAGTGAATTTGCTCTTTTAAAAAAAAATTACTCATGAGCAGAGAGCAGTGATACTGCAGATTAAGGTGGGGTCTGGATGTACTTACTTCTGCAGCAATGCAGAGGCATCAAAAGCATGGCAAAATTCGTTTTTCCCAACTTTGGTTAGACCTGGGCCATTATAGATAAGCTGGCCCTTCAGCCACTCCGGCAAGGTTCCTGCAAAGGGGATTACCACACATTACAGATGCCATAATCAGAAGGAGAGTTTGCCATATTGTTAAGATATACATGTACTAGAAATATTCAACCACAGCAGCTACTTCATAAAAAATAAAGTGAACTCTGACAAGCGTCATAATCAAATTAAACCAAATTTTATGAATTTGCAATAAATAAAATCTAAATGCTTAATTTAAGTGGAAACATATCAGGTGTTTTGTTACCGAGTAAAATTAAAAATTTTAATTTTTGGTTCATCACAAGAGTAGATTTAAATACGATTAATATGAAAGGCAATGTTGCGTCAAGATTTATTTAGAAAAATCTAATTTTCCCACCATTAATTTCTCCCCACCAAGGCTGGATTATGCACAACTACATTCAGTCACAAGCTCTAGCTATCATTCCAGGACAAAAAAAAGTCTAGTAATGCACCATCTGTGGGAAGTTGACTAACAATGTTATTATTTACTACTTATTTAACACTGAAGTCCATGGCTCAATTCCTGGTACAGGTGGAAACCTTTAGGATGCATTTCCTGAAGACACCTGCTGTCCCTGTTCACCCATCAGTAAAACAGGTACTTGGGTGTTAGTTGATTGGTGTGGGTTGCATCCTGGGGGCAATTTACCTAATTTGCCTGAAATGCTCTGCATAACAAGGGGCTTTCTCAATACAGCTTAAGGCATCCTGCTTGGCTTGAAGGCTAAGTTCAGTTTGTGATTTAAGTTTTTTTTTTTTTTTGGGGGGGGGGAGGGATAGTGGTTTGGAATGGGGTAATTTCTCATGGAGTAGGAAAGTGCCACTGTTGTTTTACTTGACATAGATCATGTATCGGGTTCATGCGGAGGTCAGTTCCAGTTTTTATGACCCATCTGGAGGAGTGTTCATCAGCACAAAAGTTTGGAGGGTTTCTGTGCAAGGACTGAGTGGGCTTGCCCGACTATATTGCCCCTAATGAGGAAATTTCTTTGTGACATGATCTCTGATGCTTTAGATAAAGTTCTTGTCCCATATTAAGAATTTTGGCAGTACGTGAGCATTCTAATATGATCCTCATCGCTTCGTTCTGCATTTTTTTCCAGCCTGACCCAGGAGCAAGTAATGGTGTGACAATCAACCAATGATTTAAATATAACCAAAATACATAATTTTCACAATTTTAATATTAGCACCATAACCGGGATGAAAACATGCCACAATTATGTGCTCTCAGCTTTCCTTTGTATTGGAGACAGTCTTGTTACGGAAAGTAGTACTGTATTTAATGATTTTTTTTTTTTTACTGGTAACCACATCATATTCGGTCAGCTGATGATAATTCTGAGAAATTCATAGTTTAAGCTCTTTACGAGTCAAAATTCCAGTAATATCAGTTAAGTAACTTGTTACAATAAAGTCGTGTCAAAGTATACATTTCAGAATTAACACAGTATTACGGTACAGAATATGCATATTCATGATATTACTTCCTATTAATAAAAATTAATATATATCGGCAAGATTTTTATTGTACATAGGTTAGTAGCTTATTTGCTACATATAACTGTTTCTACTGCTACTGCAGCAGAGGGTTTCCATACCTGTAAGTTGGCAGGGAACAGCATCTGAACACTCATTGTCACAGTGTCTGCACAACACTGAGAAGTCATACTTTCCGCAGTTACTGTCCATTATCTTCCAACTGTGAACAAGAATTATCATTAAGAACAATTCATACAGACATTTAAATCAAATGTGATTATGCATTCCATCTCTACACTCCCCCACTCCCTAAAACCCATCCAGTGTGCCCGCACATCCCACATACAACTTCCCCTCCCCTGCACAACTTTCTTCCTATTCCATTATCTACCACACCCACCATACACCTCACTCTCCCATATATGCCTTTGTACAATATACCACACCCCCTTCCCCTGAACAACACACACTCCCACTCCACCCATATAACTTCCCCGTACAACCAGCTCTCCACCCTCCAAGTAAAACTCTCCCCCCCCCAACGTACAACTCCCTCCCACCCACATTTCAGAATAGTTATAAGCCTAAGACCATATGTTGGCGCTAACCTACATGCATTTTTTATATATAGAATACATAAACAATGAGCGGTCTGCTACTCCTATGTAAGTCGCATGTGTTACACAGATGAGCATTATACATTTATACACTAATATCTACATACACTTATGTATATGCATATACACAAATACATACAATGTTCAGCCATGCGACATCCCACTCCACTGATGATTCAGACTCACGAGTATCCCAACTTCCCTTCTAATCTATCCCTCCCCCTCCCCTCTCTCCACACCCACGAGTGTGCTGAGAGAAAGGAGCAGAAAAGAGAAACTGCTAATTAAGGAAGAACCAGTTTATGGGTTGCGGACAGATCTTCCAGCAGAGGCCGGAGGTTCTTTCACTTCACACAAACTTGCCCAATTTTCCTTACCACAATAAGAGATCGCTATTTATATTCACCGTGATTCCCATACAGTAATAACGTTATATTTCATCAATTATCCCTCAAATAACTACCAGTTTTGTAATAAAGTTGGTAGAATTACCGACAATATGTAAAGTAAAAGGACACAAGTGCAACTAATGTGACATTTATTGTGGCAACGTTTCGCTCTCCAGGAGCTTTATCAAGCCATTACGTAATGAACATCAAAATGGTATACAATACCGACAGGTTGTTAGGTAAGACACATATGCAACAGTTAGACAACTTTATTCCGAAACGTTTCGCCTACACAGTAGGCTTCTTCAGTCGAATACAGAAAGTAGGCAGGAACAGTAGAGATGTGAAGACGATGTAATCAGTCCATCACCCTTAAAGTCGTAGAATTTGAGGTTGTCAGTCCCTCGGCCTGGAGAAGTTCAGTTCCATAGTCAGGAACTGAACTTCTCCAGGCCGAGGGACTGACAACCTAACAACCTGTCGGTATTCTATACCATTTTGATGTTCATTACGTAATGGCTTGATAAAGCTCCTGGAGAGCGAAACGTTGCCACAATAAATGTCACATTAGTTGCACTTGTGTCCTTAAACTACCAGTTTTGTTTGCTTGCAGAACTAACATTATATATTCAGACGATTATTACAGAAATAGAGTGTACTAATAAAAAAAAAATAAGCAGTTTCCGCTACACTTTCACTTAGACATTTTTCCCCAGTAAAAATATAGTTATGTAAGTGGCAACAAAAAAAAGTAACGAAAATAGTAATATGTGGTCTAACTGCAGCTAAAATCTACTGTAATAATCATGGGGGGAGAAGCACAAAAGGCGTAGTTGAGAGGGGGGGGGTTATAAACCGCATGGAGAATGACAGTCAATTGGGTTCTATATTAAAATGGTGTAAAATACCGACAGGTTGTTAGGTAATACATATTAAACAGTTTGGTATCTATTTTGAAACGTTTCGCCTACACAGTAGGCTTCTTCAATTGAGTATAGAAAAGTTGGTAGAAGCAGAAGAGATGTGAAGACGACGTAATCAGTCACCCTTGAAGACAACTTCTGAAAGTGACAATGGTTGGATTTGAGGGGGACGTGACCTCTCAATGATTGCATTCTTGCTTCTACTAGTGGCCTTCATCTCGCCTCCTGACAGTATTTAAGGTTCCATACATAAGAACATAAGAACATAAGAACGAAGGAACACTGCAGAAGGCCTACTGGCCCATGCGAGGCAGGTCCAAGTCTCCTACCGGCTTAAGCCAATGCACCCAACCTAGTCAGGTCAGATCACATTGACTTAAGGGAGGAACACGGCAACCGACCTGGTAGCACAAGCTATCAGGTCTAACTCACACCCACCCACATCTACTCATGTATTTATCCAACCTGGAAATATAAACACAAATGCAGTATAATGTGATCCTTTATTGACTACGTTTCGCCCACACAGTGGGCTTTTTCAAGTCACAAACAGAACTACCTGGGGTGGAAGGAACGCGAGTATTTATAGTCCGGTTCAGAATGCTGAGGTCAGGTGAAGAATGCTGCATCTGATGATGTACCGAGTGGGGTTATAGAGTCTAAAAACTTGGGTAGCTTGGAAAGGAGATTGGACAAGTTTGTGAGCAGACCTTCTACAGTGTTCTTATGTGGGATAGCGATGAAGAAGTTTCTTGGCAAGTGGTTCAGCTATGTTATAGAAGCCACTATTCTGGTTGAAGTTGTCGGATATAGAAATAAGTGATGATTCCAGGATTCTTCGGTATTGAGTGTTGTCTTCTGTGGCGATGAGTCTTGAGTTTCTGTAGTTTATCAAGTGGTTGTGTGAATTACGGTGTTGTACGCAGGCATTCCTTGTGTCGTCAGACCTGCTTGCGTATTGGTGTTCTGAAATACGTGTTTGGAGGTCCCTTGATGTTTCGCCCACGTATAACTTGTTGCAGTCATTACAAGGGATTATGTATACCCCTGCAGAGGATGGAGGCTTGTCCTGTCTACTACTGGTGATGTCCTTGATGGTCGTGGTTGTGGAGGTAGATACTTGGAATGATGTTTTGGCAAAGATGTTGGAAACATGTTTGGCAATGGAGTTGGTGGGAAGGACTATGTATCTCTTCTCGGCAGTGTCTTCTCTGGGTGTGTTGAAGATGTTTAATGCCCGCCGTCTGCAGTCTCTGATGAAGTGACGAGGATAGTGGAGTTTAGAAAATATTTGTTCAATTATAGTGCATTCTTCCTCAAGGAACTCGTTGCTGCAGATTCTGAGTGCACGCAGGAAGAAGCCTATAATTACACCACGTTTGGTTTTGGTGTCGTGGTGAGAGTAGAAGTGGAGAAGATCGTTTTGGTTGGTGGGTTTTCGATAGACTTTAAAACGAAGTTCGTGGTCAGCTTTGCAGAGCAGGACATCAAGGAAAGGAAGAGTGTTGTCGACTTCTTCTTCAAGTGTGAACTGGATTGAAGGCTCGACCTGGTTGAGCTTGGGGTATACATAATCCCTTGTAATGACTACAACAAGTTATACGTGGGCGAAACATCAAGGGACCTCCAAACACGTATTTCAGAACACCAATACGCAAGCAGGTCTGACGACACAAGGAATGCCTGCGTACAACACCGTAATTCACACAACCACTTGATAAACTACAGAAACTCAAGACTCATCGCCACAGAAGACAACACTCAATACCGAAGAATCCTGGAATCATCACTTATTTCTATATCCGACAACTTCAACCAGAATAGTGGCTTCTATAACATAGCTGAACCACTTGCCAAGAAACTTCTTCATCGCTATCCCACATAAGAACACTGTAGAAGGTCTGCTCACAAACTTGTCCAATCTCCTTTCCAAGCTACCCAAGTTTTTAGACTCTACAACCCAACTCGGTACATCATCAGATGCAGCATTCTTCACCTGACCTCAGCATTCTGAACCGGACTATAAATACTCGCGTTCCTTCCACCCCAGGTAGTTCTGTTTGTGACTTGAAAAAGCCCACTGTGTGGGCGAAACGTAGTCAATAAAGGATCACATTATACTGCATTTGTGTTTATATTTCCATTGTGTCGGTATTTTATACCATTTATTCCCATTTATCCAACCTATTTTTAAAGCTACACAACGTTCTGGCCTCTATAACGGTACTTGGGAGTTTGTTCCACTCATCCACAACTCTATTACCAAACCAGTACTTTCCTATATCCTTCCTGAATCTGAATTTTTCCAACTTAAAACCATTGCTGCGAGTCCTGTCTAGGCTAGATATTTTCAGCACACTATTTACATCCCCTTTATTTATTCCTGTCTTCCATTTATACACCTCAATCATATCCCCCCTAATTCTACGTCTTTCTAGAGAGTGCAGTTTCAGGGCCTTCAGTCTATCCTCATAGGGAAGGTTTCTGATACATGGGATCAACTTTGTCATCCTCCTTTGTACATTTTCCAGAGAATTTATATCCATTCTGTAATACGGTGACCAAAACTGTGCAGCATTAATCTAAATGAGGCCTAACCAAGGATGTATAGAGTTGAAGAACAACCTGAGGACTCCTATTATTTATGCTTTTTGATATGAAGCCAAGGATTCTATTAGCTTTATTGCGAACACTTATGCACTGTTGTCTGGTTTCAGATTACTGCTAACCAGAACTCCTAAATCCTTTTCGCAATCCGTAATATTAAGATCTACATTATTTAGTTTATATGTGGCATGGTTATTGTCCTGTCCAACATTTAGAACTTTGCATTTGTCTATATTAAACTGCATCTGCCACTTCTCCGACCACTGCATCAGTCTATTCAAATCTTCCTGGAGTGCTCTAATGTCCTCGTCAGAATGAATTCGACGGCCTATTTTGGTGTCATCAGCAAACTTGCCGATGTCGCTCTTTATGCCCTCATCTATGTCGTTTATGTAGATTGTGAACAGCAGGGGGCCCAACACTGACCCCTGTGGAACACCGCTCGTGACGCTTCCCCACTCTGATTTCTCCCCATTTATGCAAACTCGCTGCTGCCTATTTGTCAACCATGCCTCTATCCAGGAAAAAATTTCTCCTATTCCATGTGCTTTAATTTTCCCCCAATAGTCTCTGATGTGGGACCCTGTCAAAAGCCTTACTGAAGTCCATATACACAATATCATATTCATTACCATGATCTACCTCCTCAAATACCTTAGTGAAAAAAGTTAATAAATTCGTAAG